AAATACGAACACAATAATCAAAAATCATGGCAACCGACAGTGAAATGACACCTGTCTGTCAGTTGTATAGTGTTCGGTATCCAGTTTCGCTTGATTTGGCCTGAAAACTTTTGAATTTCCATATTTTAGTAGCCGGAAAAGTTCCTTTCACATTTTTTAACCCTCTCCACAAGTTGTTGACTGCCTTTTGCACATCCTATTGTTCGATACTGAACAGCAAAGCAACTGACTTTTCCGATTCCATATCGATGTGGTAGCCAAAGGTGTTGTTGCACTGCCTCAGTTATGCATCTAAATGTATTTTAAAATATTCTTCGTTTTACTCCCTCTTGGCCAAAACTGTCTGAGCTACTGAGTGTCTATAGAATTACTTTGCAGTATTTGTATGAATTTATTGATTGAGGTTGGCAAAGTGAAAATAAGCAAGGGAGCACAACGTCGAACCTGCTAACTGAAACATGACAAAATCATAAATATTGAATGCAAGATACACTGAGGCGAACATGAAATAAATACAATGGTAAACAGAAGAACATATTTAACTTTACTGCATTTAAAAAATATATATTGATTAATACATATAAATAAAATTAAAAACCATAACTATTAATATGAAAAAGCTCATTGTTAGACAGCAGTATTTCTAAGATAAAGTTATAACGTATGTTTAGTTGTAACGTATGTTTCTTTTATTGAAAAAGTGCTAATTTTCTTCACCTGTCTTAGTACCTTTCTAGGGACAACTAAAAAACCACAATTGTTTGGCAACTTACACATACCAATGGAGAGCTCATCGAATCATTTCATAGCAGAATACAGCAAAAACCAGAACTACAACAATGGCAATAATAATCAGCATATGCAGCAACGAACAGCAATTGACGTTTGACAGAGGGACACAAATTGGTGGGCAGGGAGAGGGGGGATCCCAATGGATCCCAAGGGTATGTGAATAAAACAAAGCAATACGAATGCATTGGTGAAAAAGTTTAACATCTATCTTTTACGTCCGTGCGCCCCATCACTTCCGAGTTTTAGCCCCTTTTCAGTCCACACTTCTTATCGGTGGCTGTCATAAAAGTGTGGAGCATTTTCAGCTACGTCATCATCAGCAACAATGATGTGGAAAAGGCGGGGGTTTTCCCCTCGACAAACCCTGCACATGCTCACCCTCATATCTTGTCAAGTTTTTCAGGAGGGGGCGAATGTTTAGAGTCTATAATCTTCAAATAATGGAAAAACTTTTGCTGTTAAGCAAGAGGAATGCCAAAGCTTAGATTTGTCTTTTATTTTTGGGTTCTTCATTTTTTCTTTGTTTCTTCTTTAGCCCTAAACCCCCCAGAACCCCCAACCCCCAAAGAACCGCATTGCCAAGAGTTTTGATATTTTTGCCATTTGCCTCCATGCAGTTGACAACCCTGGCAAGTGTTTTTGTTTTTGTTGTCGCTGCTGCTCACTCGATTTTCAATTTATTTCGTTTGGTGGTCGTGTGGTAGTTTCAATTTTTTCTCTGAATTTTCTTTCGTTCACGTTTATTTTTTGCTGCTGCTTCTTTGAGCGAAAACTTCATCAACTGTTTTGCTTCTACCTGTGGCTTAAAGTCCTTCATCCAACACCACAATCTGTATATTCCCACCCGTCCCCGATTCCCAACCCCCTTGAGCAATCAGCCAACATTTTTTCGCAAGCATTTTTTCTCTTTCAGTTTTTTTATTTTTTTTTTTTGTTGCTGTTTTTCGTATTTTTGCTTTAAATTAAGTTTGCGTCAAACGAGTGGAGGTGGAAACGGGAGCAATAGCATTTATGCCTTTGTGGCAAGTTAATTTCAATTTTATTGCCAATTGATTGAGATTTGAATGGAATGGAATGGTTCGGCTTTTGGCAACGTGTCGCCAATAAGCCATTGGCAAATGGCATTGGCCCTAAGCCATGGCTGATTAATTTCTCACATTTCGCCAAATGAATCAATTGAAAACTCGACCATACAAATGTCAACAGCAAAATGCGACTTACAAATGTTCCCCCGTTTTTTTTTATATTTTACAATCTTCTGACTAAAAGTCAGGCAGTGTTTGAAATTGAGATGGTAGCATGATGTAAGCGTTTTTATTTTGACTACATTTTAATCAAATATTTTATATATTTTTTATTAGGAATAACTAGTGCGATAATAAAGTAAAAAGAAATTTCACTAAAATATACAATTGCTTTGCATTTTTTTCCTTAGCTTTAATATTTACCTCCTAAATATTTTCCATCTCTAAGATCCATAAAAACGGAAAAAAATAAAAACTGCGTGCACTCAATTTTCAGCCACACAATAAAATGCCCTGAAGCTTATGGTCGCGTTCTCTTCAATTGAAAAGTCAACCTTTATCCATGGGAAAATAAAAATCAAGAAAAAATTATCTCAAAAATAAAATGTTAACGAAGCCAGCTGCGAACCGGGGTCAATTGCACCCATTGAAAATATGTGAAAGGAAATAAGGAGAAGGATTTCAGGTCATGGAACAGCAAACTCAGATTATTCAAAAGGTCGAAGGTCAAATACCAATGGCACTTAACGCTCGAGATTGCAGCTAATTTATGGAAAGTGAAAGCATTTAAAAGGTGAAATCAGGCTGAAAATCAAATAAAAAACTAAAGTTAGTTTGTGAAACTGTACTGTGTGTAGTTTCAATTAAATATTAATCGATGTGCTGCAAACAAAAGCCCCAAAAATGAAGCGAAAGCAATTTCGAGCTTGGCTTATCCCGTCAGTCGCACAAATGACAAAAGGCAACAAACAATTTGGCAAATTTTCACATTTGTGCTGGCATTAATTTCGCATTGCAAGTGCCAATAAGCCAACAATCAATGCACTCGATGGCATTTTCACATTCGGGATGTTGGTGGCCGGGGGAAAAACCGAATTAAATTTCCCTGAAAGGTCTCAGCTGAGATAAAAAACTGAAAATGCAATTTGCGTTGGCGTGGGTGCCGCGAGTCACCAAATCGTTGCATCAGCTGCACTTGGCTGCAGTTTTATTGGCCTTAACCATCCGCTTTTTGGTTACGTTGACATGTCTTCTCGCCCAATCCCCGAATTCCTGTTTCTGTGGTAAGTTCTGTTTGAGATTGCACCTGCATGCATATCCGTTGCAGGCCTGCCCCAAACCGTTTTCCATTTTCCCACCCTTTTCCCTTTCTGGCCGCTGCCATCGTGGTCATCATCGGCGGCATCGTTGCATATTCATACGCCCCATTGTTGCCATGCAGTTGATGCGGGCGAGCTGATTTTTATGTGGCCGACCGAGTGACCAGGCAGAAAGCACGCAGCAGACAGGCGGCAGGTTTTGGTCCGTTTGGCCATTTTCCGTTTGGTTTTTATGGTCTCAACGAACGAAACGAAAAAAGGCAAATCAAGCCGGTCAATTTGTGCGAAGTTTAGTCAAAAAGTGAATACCCTTTCCGATTGCAACAGTGGGGTTAAATAATATTGTATTACATTTAAATACTATTAAATCTCTAAAGAGCATTTATTATATTTTTTTTTTTTTTGGGTTTATAAAATATTATAAAACACTAATAATAAATTTTATTACAATAAAAAAGGGAACCAAAAAAATAATAATAACCAAGGCTAATTTTTTACTACAAAAAGGCATGACAAATAATAATTCAACTAAAAATATAAAATAAGCTGTGAATTGGCAGAGAACAAGTCGATTCTGTAGAAAGTGAATTTTTTTTATTTGTTTGTGAACAAAAATAAATATTCAAATATTACAATTTGTTACGTTAGGATAACATTTTTTAGAGTGCATATTTTTATACAGATTTATTAAAAAAAATAAAATCAAGTTTTGCTGCCAAATAATTTTTTTTTTTTTTTGATACTCGAAACCGAATAAAATTGGAATATTGATAAAGGAGAAGGTTCAATTCTAGCAAAGTTATCTCCTGCTGAGAAGCTGGCTAACAAATTTGTGGACCCTTACCAATATCAATCAAACCTGCGCCAAGTAGGGCATTCGAATGGCTCTCGCTCCGTTAGCGGGATATCATGGCTCGAATGGTTGGCTTGAATGGCTGGTGGCCAAAGAGAGCGCCTGCGTGTGTCACGTTTAAAATATGCGCATTTTTGCAAATGACATTTCAGTCGCACCGCACTATCACTAATTGATATCATATGATGGAATTTATGCACAGACACCGACCGACCGACCGACCGACCGACCGAACGACCGGCGATTCCAGACAGCAAAGGACTCTCAACCTCCAGGACATCCTCCCGATCGGTAATCGGTGCTTGGAGCTCGCAGCTCGGTGCTCTCTGCTTTTCATGACGGTTGGAATGACGGTTTGGCTGGTGGCCGGGAAATTGTCGGGTTCATTTTTGCCTTTTATTGTTGCTGTTGTTTGGTCGATTGCCGTTTCGCTTTTTGCGGTTTGTCGTCGCGTCAGGACCGTCATGTGCCTCTGTCCGTTGTCCGATGTCCAGAGTCCAGAGTCCTGTGTCCTGCATCCCGTGTCCTGCTTCCCGTGTCCTCCATCCCGTGTCCTGCATCCCGTGTCCTGCATCCCTTGTCCGCTGTCCGTCGTCTGCCGCCTGAGGTTGGCCGCTCTGCGGTGCCGAGACTGCGGCCCGATCATTCATTTGTCAAGTTGTCAGGACACGGTTCGGCAGGCGGCAGTTGGCGGGAAAGCTGCCTTTGACACCAAGTGCGCCATTTAGATTTCACGGCTGCCCAATGTGCCTATAAGTTAGCTTTGTTGCTAAATTTGCACTTCAGCAAAATTACCAAACCAAGATAAGTTTTTGAGTTCAAAGAAGTGCAAAGTTTAAAGGGAACTAAGTTAGATTTCGCCGAGATTTTTATGGAAATAGTTATTAAGGTATTTTATGATGAATTAGTTTGGTTAACTTAGAAAAACTAAATTGAAAACGGTATTTGATAAAAGGTTTTATAAGAGAAGTAACTCCTTTAAACAACTTACCTACCTTAGCATTCAACATCTCTATGATCAGCTTATCTGGTCAAATTTAGTTCTAAAACAAACTCCAAACACTTTGGATATATTTTTACTCAAAAGACAAGCAAAAATGGATTCCGGCGATAGAATCTCACAGGAGGATCACATTCCCTTTATTGACCGTTTATCTGAGTGGACCAAATCGAGTGACATCAAGTCCGGTGAAATGGGACGAATTTTGGCCATTCTTCTAACAGTGATTGTGATTTGTTATGTAATTCTCCTGGTGGCTCGGATTGTGGTGACTTTGGCCTTGCCCACCTTGGTTATTGTGGTTCTTCTGCTGGTCTATCGCTTTGTCAGCCTTTCGGAAATGGAGGATGGTATCAAGGAAGTGCCTGGTATGCTGACTTCGGTTATGAACTTTATCACTGACATCTTTCCAAAGGCAGTTACTAAATAGATTGCCTTGAAGCAAAAGGAGTTCGTAAATTTATAATAAATATTTGGCAATAATTCTCAGTCTTATACAGCAAGAACGAGCTTAATATTGTGATTCGGTCTAATTTTAAAAGTTAATATTGTTAATATCATGTTCACAAAATTTAAATGAAATATATGTCATATTCATACATGGTTCCAATAAGATCTCATTCGTAATTGTGAGTTCACAAATAAGAGCAAACTCAAAGAAAACAATACCGAGAATGGGATTCCATTAACTGAAAGCAACTGGAAATTGTAGTTTGTGAAAGCTGACAGCCATCCTCGTCGTGCAAATTCTCAAATTTCCCAACATCATTTCAGTCCTTAGCACTGTCCCATTATTTATTTATAGCCCCAACGTTGTTCACATATCGATAACCGAGTTTGCCATCAACATTCCTGTCAGGACATTTAAAGGCCTAACAACCAGACAATGAGTGGGGCACAGAGAGACAGTTACGGGACAGAAGTTGCAGCACAGACAGAATCCATGTTTATGTCCTTCTGCCCGGGCAACAAAAATGGCAAAATGCAGCCCGCCGACACTTCGTCCTCCTCCCGCCTGTCCTCACTTTTCCCCCAATTTCCACACCCCCCTTTTTGAATAGTTTGCCTTCCGTTTTTGCAGGAGTGTGCGACTGTGTGGGCCAAGTTTTGTCTCGTTGTTTTCACCATTGACCGTGACGCTCGTTTCGCCGGCGCGGATGCGAACTTTGTTGCTATTTCGCCAACTATCCTTTCACCCCCCTTTTACCTCCCCCTATTACCTCCCCACCCCCTTTGCCACCCCCTTTTGCCCTGGTCCATCTATGGAAACGTGCGTTGTCTGCTACCTGACGGTTGACTTTCTTCCTCTAATGAAATGCGGTTACAAATGCAATTTTACATTTTTCACAAAAAAGCATTTTATCTGTCGACGCCAGGCACAGCCCGAAAACGCAGACTCCAAACTCCAGGATGCGACTACGAAGTTGTATACACTCAGGGAAAATACTACAAAGCTTGATTACCATCATCAAAAATTAATTCGAATTTTTATAGTTATACTACTACTGCTTCTGAAGTATTATTTCAGAATTGTGGTTCACAAATTTAAGAACATGAAGAGGACAAGTATAGATTGTTGATCTCTTTGGTTTGTATAACAAAATAAACTTTAAGTGGATGTAGCGCACCTTACCTTCAATTTAATTAAAGAATATTTTTCGAAATGTACTCCCGGCAAAAGCACACGAAAACCTGGCAGTAGTCAGTGCACGTGACATCCATGTGTCGCTGTCTCCCCCTTTTTCCCCGCTTTTCCAATCGGGGTGGGAATTTCCTCCATTGTGTTTGTGTTGCGAGCGTGTTCCTGTTCAGGACGATGTCCCCAAGCTCGGCCACTATCTCCCCACCATTCCCACTATCCGACGACGAGTCGTCAGCTTGTTTGCACCTTGTCGAAATTAGTGTTTGTACCGAAATGAACACGATTTGTTTGACCAGCAGGTGTTGAAAATACACTGCGCTCCATGGTCGAGTTGGTTTTCGGTTGTAGTCCCTCGCTACTCTCCCACCCACAACCACCCACCCACTTTTATCGCCCATCTGCTCCGCTTTGCCGTGTCATACGCGGCGTATGGGTAATGTTTTTCAAATTGTTGCGGTCAGTTTGAGAGACATTTGGCCGGAATTGCTCTGTTTTGTTTCGGATTCTACGCTGGCAGCGGTCTAACGTGGTTGTTGTGCCATTTTATAAACATCATGTGTACTTTGTTGTTTGGGTTGTACAATTTGTATATTCATGTATGACCACTGGGTCCACTCACGCCAAAAAAGGGTAATACCTCAAGCTGTTTAGAAACATTATTTTTTGTGGCATCATTAACATATTGTTTGCTTCGGTTGAGGGGAAATTAGTGGTCTTTAACGTATAACACTAATTTCATTGTAAATCCAGTCAAGTACTTTATTTAAAAATGTTTCCTCAAACTTGTTTAATTTCAAAATAATACTAATAACAATAATGCTAACTAAACAATTGTCATTCTGCAAAATAATAATATCTACTTTTATTAGGATGGCATGTAATAAAATATCTATGAAATCTTTTTCCCGACAGTACAAATAAACATAAACAACTTCCCTTAGGTAAAATATTAATGCCCGACATCATTTTTCCATTGCCATTTTTCATTGCCAACGACCGTCAAAACGCTGAAGTGCGGCCAAAATATGTCAGACTGCAAATCAAAATGGCAGACAGCACTGACAAATAAACAGTCACTCAGCCAAGCAGACGAGTGCAGCAAATGGAGAGACATTCCAGACAGAAGGACATTCAAACTCGCCAGACAGATGCTGATGATTGCCGCAAGGTTTGCGTTTCAATGCCAAAAATTGCGAAGGTAAGTAAGTGCAGCATAGGCCGCCTGTCATGAATGAATGGATGGATGGTTGGATGACTTGCTGGGTGGGTTACCCTCATATTCCGGCAAACTCATTAACAAGTTGGCACATAAAGGCCCAGAAAACTACTCGGCGGTGAGCGAAAGAAGTCAATGCCTTGGCGACAAGCTGCCGCATCAGCAGCCGCAACTAATGGCTGCCAGACTTGTGTCGGTTTAGGAGTTCTCTCCTCCGACTTCCCGACTTCCACAGCCACTACAGCCCTGGCAAACTTCTTTTTCGGCAAGGCCAAGGCAAATACTTGGCGGCTGTGTGCAAGTTTTATTAAAAGCCAACAGTCGACGGCGACATCCTGCAAGCGGTTGGCCAAAGTTGTGGACTGGGGTAGAAGGCTACGGTTTGATAAATACAACCAAAATTATTTCGGCTAAAAGTACAGATGAGATCCTTGAACTTGACTACGTTTGGAAATTTAATTGTGCAAGAGAACTCACTGATAACCTAACTTTACTTATTGATCTAATGATCATCTAAACATAAATTTTCATTCATTCATTAAAAGTGAACAACACTTCATTTAAAAAAAATATATATATTTTATCCACACACATTAATTTATTAAAATTTATATTTTAAGAAAACTGTTTTCTTAAATTTTTTCCAAATTATTCAGTATTTTCTAGCCAACCCTAAGTTGCCCATTAAACTATACTTTCCTTACACTGTAGCACAATTTTTTCATAGCCAATAAGCACTTTACTGGCAATTCAAGAGGCAAGTACCGCGAAAATTATGGCTTACATGTGTTGCCAGTCGCAAACTACTCATTGGAACTGCGGATTTCTGAGGCGACGTCGCCAGTCGAAGAACAGACGGAGTAAGTTGCGATTTCCTTTGCCAAGATGGAGTTCCAAGTTCCAAGTCGAAATTGTAACCGGAGTGGTGTGGGTTAGAAGAGGAGTTCCCTTTCCCCCTAAGTGTGCAGATGGTCCTCGCAGCAGGCCGAGTGGGTTGCATAACAGCGACATTGGCCAGTGGGGCAGCAACATTGCCTCAATATCGTGGTGCTGTAGGGAAATACGATGATCTTCCACTGATTGCCAAGTTCGAGGGTCTCGTAGTGATAGCCCCTCTTGTAGATCACCATGGGCGTATGGTTCATATAGTATGGCATTATTTCCAGCAGACAGGCATCCATGCAGTTCACAAAGAACTGAACGCACTTAATCAGCTTGGCCAAGGTGTAAACACTCGAGATGCCCTCGTCGAAGAAGTAGACCGCATCGAACTTCGGTGTCTCTGCCCCGAAGATTTCCGCTACTTTCTGCATAGTGGTGAAGGTGTGCAGAGTCGTACACCCCGATGGTCCGCTGGGAAAGAACAAGTGGGTGACCCCACTCGTTACCAAAATCGGACTGGCACAAGCCGGAGCATCGGCCACATCGGCCAGAACGTATTTAACCGGTCTTAGTCCGTGTTTCAGCTCCTCAACCGCTCGCACGAAATTTGGGTGGTTGGCCACATGCGGCCTCAGCTGTCGGAAGCGACTCCGCAGCCTTTCGATGAACTCATCCCGGATCGAATGGTGCACCGCCACCGAGGCCATCGGAAATGGCTGGAATGGCTCCTGCATCAACTCCGCCAAACAATAGGCGGCCGTATTCAGATCGCCGTCCTTGCAAACGCACATGAAACGGGCTCCCGGCCAAAACTTCGTCTTTCTCATATCGTGCCTCTAATCGGAATTAGATATGTATGTATTAATATATTAATATGAATCGGCAAATATTTCTTTCAGAACTCACTATCCTTGGGCCACGCCTGTTGCATCGCAAATTATGCACTAGATCGTGCGATACAAAATTTGTCTTAATCTCACACATGGCCACAAGTAAATTTTTCCGATTCTCACAAACAATTTATTTTAAAACTAATAAATACGGTGACTGTTATAGAATTTGATATTTGAAGTGAATGTTAGCTACTACTCTTTTAACTAGGAACATCAAAGAAACGAAAATAAGGATAATTACGAGTAAAAAAAGTTGTGGAAAAAAAGAAACGTCAGAGAATCCAACCAATAGCAAAACATCAAAATAAAAAATAATCGCTAAGCAGTCAATACATATTTAATAATTTATAAAAATCTATTGTCATACAATTTTACAATTGATAAAAATATTTGATTTTACACATAATTTCTTGCAATCGACAGTAATTTTATCTGATTTCTGTGATAAAGCGACTATAATAATTTTTAATTTTTACAGCTGACAATCCTCTGAGTAGCTTGGGGTGATTGCTTGAAAACAACTCTCATCTTCAACTACTTCTTGTGGTAAAAAGACTGTTAATCTCCTCGGTGCTGCTGCAAGAGTTGATTGCAGCAGCCATAAGCTCGGCTCCAGCGTGCAACAAGCTGTCCAAGTTCAGATAATTTGAGGCCAATAGGATTTGCAACAGGAACTGACAGTCGGCATTCTCCTCCAAGAGAAAGAGTTCTTTAAGCATATCCTTTCCCTCCACTTTTATGTTACCTTCATAATCTAACAACACTGTGCACCAAGCGATTATGAAGTCAAGGGTCCTGGCATCGACCCTCGGAAGAGGAATGACCTCGTCAGGTTTTCCCATGATCGGCATTTCGGCAAGAACGCCCATCTGTTCAATCAATCGAATGTCCACTGTATGAACCACGCCATCGCTTGTCTCCAGTTTCACAAATTTTGGGTCTTCCAACTCCTGAGTGGAAGACATACTGAGTAGCAATATGTTTAAGATTTTGTACGAACTCAAATTTAAAATGGCATCTGCATTAAATGGTTTCAGCTAGACAACTGTTCAGTTGAGAAATTTTTAAGGTAGGCTTTCGGATTTACAAAACATATGCCAACTAGGTTTTTAAAAATATTTAGTAAATTAAAATTTAAAAAAAAACAAATTAATGGTTGCAAAAGCATTCCTTCTTCTTTTTTATTAAATTTACTTTAGCCAATCGATCGTCATTTAAGTTCACTTATTTTTGTACTGCTTACCAGAGACACTAAATATAGCAATCAAACTCGGATTAAAGCCCCAAATTTAATATGCAAAATCTTTGAAGCCTCCCAAATTGAGCAATCAAAAGTTCTGGGAAATTAACTCCCAAAGCTGGGAGCTTCCACACTTTGGGCTGCTTTTGGGCGAAGTCGAGTCCCTTTAGTCATATGTATATCGCATACTCACTTATGCCGAAAAGTTAATGGAACCATGGAAAGGCGAGATTTCCATGGAATAAAGCAGAATTTTCGCAAACACACACAAACAACTAACGAAAACAAATCAAGCGCAAAGTAAACCCAGCCGAGAAAAAATAACATTTTGCCGCGATAAGAAACTTGCTCAGACTTTCAGCAACGCATTGCAGAAAGAGACAGAGCAAATAGAGTGAGCGAGAGAGGGAAAGTCTGCAAGAAACTCCAGGAATAAGGACAATGCTAATGCCATTTGCTCAAGTGCCATCAACTGAGGCAACCTCGTGTCATATAAGGTCTAAACAAAGGTAATAAACAAGTTAGTCATTGCGTTTATACACTTGCTTTCGAGAACTTATCTTTATACATATTATGATTAATATTAAGGCTTAAGGCTTAATAAGAAATTATAAAATTAGAAAAGCCTTGAGGTTTTTAAATTATATTTTCAATAGATTTCAAGTATTTAATTCAAACTTTCAAAAGGTTAGATCAGAACTCACGCTCTGATTTGTTAAAAATATTATTTACAAAAGTTATTTTTTAAAGTTTCTTTAAAAATCACAAAAATTTGATAGCTAATCTTTTAGAGTGTTAAGTAGTCCTCACTTTCAACTTTTATATTATATTAACATTATTTGTCTCAATGGTGGGCGTGGCTCTTCCCAGCTGTAAAGCACATAAAGTCCTAAAACCCATCTCCGGCACATTTGCAACCAGCCATAAAGAAGATTTATAAAACAACAACAATGAACATATTTACATTACAGCGCACATTTATTTTTCGGATTTTATTTTTGCACAAGCTAAACAAAACAAATAAAGCTTTAATATTCAACTGAATGCAATGAAAATTAAATTACTAATTTGTTTTGCGGTCGATTTGTTTACTGACTAGAAAATGAACAGTAGCAGAAAAAGTTACAGCTACAGTGCATGCCAAAAATATTTAATACATTTTAAAACCAATAAATAAGTTGCATAAATATTTGTTTCTCGCTAAAATGTTTATTTTGTTGAAATACGGATTAAAGCGATTCACAAGAAGAGTTTATAAAAAGAAAAAATTCAATAATCGAAACTTGTTTATGAAAAAAATATTACGCAGTTAGGTTTGTCATTTAAAACATCAACTAAATATAAATATATGCTAAACTTATTAGCTTAGCGCACTTTAGAAGTCCACCACTGTTGGCCAACCAATTGATGCATGTCAACCAAAAAAGAGACTGCGTGCTGACAAAAATTAACTAAAACATCCGTCGCAGCTAGTCAACAGCCATGGTCCATTCAATTATTAATTTTGCATGCAATCCCGAATTTGAATTTCATTTATGCAACGTTTTAATTAAATTTTTTGCTTCTCGTGCAGCTCTAACCGCACTCACACCCCCAAAAAGTACACACAGGACGCCAAGAGACAGGAACGGCAGCAGCTGCCGCTTAAAGCCACAAAAATTACGCATACGCACTGTATTTATTAAATTAAAAAAGTTGACACGGCAGCTGGGAGGAAAAAGTTGTACGACTTTTTGGATTTTGGTTTCAGCATTTGAAAATTGAATTTCGGTTTCCTGACTGACTGACTGGCGCTGGGATGTAATTTGAAAAATGTTTGACAAAATGACAGCGGCAGTGATTTTGAAATGTTATCTGCTTGCCCAAACGCGATTTACATTTGCCAACGAAGGTCAAACACAAACATCCTGTCATATACTAAAACATTTTAGTCTACACAAGAAAAATGAATTGGAAATCGAAAACAAAACTATCTAAAACGAAGTGTATGTGAAAAGTGTTACGGCTATTTCAAAGATTATTATTTTGTGTCATGACTTAAAATGTTGAGCTTGTAATAAAGTGTTGCTTTATAAGATCTTAAATATGGTCTTGTATATTAGTCTTTAAATTTTTGTAAATAATTCTTCCAAGTGGAGGCACTTATAGAGGTCCACTCGGTTTTTGGCTGCGAATCCAGGCAAATAAAATATGAAAATGCTTGTGCGAGGCATTAAACGCTATGAAAATCGTATGGCCAGGCCAACCGCCCCACCAAACTGGGCGTGGCAGGCTAGCTGGCTGGTAACGGGAATTGGGAATCGGAAAGTGCAAATAACTGTTGCCAAACATTTCCAACGAAAATGTTCGCATCGCATACATTTGAGGGAGGATGTGGCATCCACGATTGGAGTGGCGGAGTGGTGGAGTGGCGGAGCTGCAGTGGCTGCTTGTAGCAATGCATGCAAACAAGATTTAACGATAAAATTTTAATTAGTGCATAAATGGGCGCCTGATTGTGTGGGCGTGGCCGCATAGAGAGCAAGACATGTTGGCCATATTCGAAAGCGGCTCCTCTCGTACGAGTTTGCCAGGCACACGGGCCAGAGACCCAGAGCCAGACACATTGCGGCTTTGCCACTTTTGTGCTTCTATTTGCCAACGCACAGCCATCGACTGCATGCTGTGGGAAGAGGGTTCCTGGGAGTCTGGGTTCTGGGTTTTGGGCTCTGGAATCGGGAGCAGGATCGCAGAATGAAGTGGAGGCCAGCGGGTACTCCCCGCTGCTGAAATTAAGAAATTTTGTCCCGCTGCCATGTGCCGTGTTTGCATTGCCATCGATGCGTTACTTTGCGCTGCAAGACTGCCGCGCCGATAAGCGTTAATTTTAAACTTGCCATGGAAATTCTGGCACCGGAACTCCAAAAGTTATATTCATGCGGGAAGTGCATGGCGCATGAGGTTGAATATATACGCAAATTGAAAAGACGGTAAAAAAAAAGGTTAAAAGATAACGTAAGAGCAAAATAAATACTATCACTAGACAGCAAAAAAAAAAAACCAACCAAATAATTGCTTGAGCAGAAAATACATATTTCTAAAATTTATACCAAAGGAATTAAATATAAATCACATATATGAAAGAAATTGATAAAATGTTAAATAAAAACGGAAATATAATATTCTACATTCTGGACTTCCTTTAAAATTACTAATACAGAACCTTTTAGAAAATATAGCTTGCTAAGAAGAAAAAAACTAAAAACGAAACATAGTACCTACATTATATAAGCAGTAAACACGATGAGACGCAACAGACCGCCAGGTACTAACTTTATTCAATATTGTAGCTTTTCGCCATGGCTCCTTGTTGTTATTTATTTCAAGTCTTGCCTTTTTCGAACTTTTTTGTTTCATTTTTTCCGTTACCTGCCTTGGTTTTTTTACGGCTCACCTCAATGGCTGCTCGACATGCACTTTGCATACATTTTGCCTTTACGATCTGACGCTGCGTTTAAATATTTAGTAGATAGTAAACTATGCGCTACCCATGTGCTCTTGTGTGTAGTGGTATGCGTGTGTCTGCTGAAATATTTATTAAAACAGCCAAAGGCATGCAAAGGCATCAAACGACTCGAAAAGATATTTCACCAAGATAGTCAGTGATTGAACTTCAGCTGGGAGAAAAGTCAGATAAACTATATGAAACTGTGACTTTTTTAGAGTTTTAAACAAAAATTTTGTACGTCCCTAAAACGTAACGTAAATATACCTAAACTAAATGATTTCAAACAATTTAAACTTAAACATGGCTAACCCTTTTTAATTTCTAACATAATAAAATACTTATTTAAATTTTGGGTGTTAAATTGATAATCTTCAAAAGACAACTCAATTTTATTTCCCATTTAATCTGAAACAATTTTGTTTAATTCCTCGCATATTTAGCACAAAATTCAGATAAAGTCACTACTTAATAATGTTAAACAAGTGACTAACATCAAATTCGTCCAAACAACTCCAAATCAAATCACGGTGACCACTTTGTGGCATCACTAATCAATCGGACCACAGCCCTCAAATATTCTCTCTGGCTTTTCGCACGCAACCGATATTCAGCTGGATGGACAAAATACAGAATTTATGTTTTAATTAAAATATGTAAATGCGCCAAATCGTGTAGAATGCTCCGTCAAGAGGCGCTCACCCAAAATCGAGCTGGGAAAATCAGCCAAAAACATTTCACACATTCACCAGTAATGCGATTGCCGCAAAAATGAAGAGCAATTCTGCGATGTGCGTGAGTTTGTGTACCGAACAAATTTGAAAATGTGCGGAGCTCGGTCGAAAACTCTGAACCACGAAACAATTTAGTTTATTTGCTTCTAATTGCAAACAACAGTTGTCTGATTTCTTTGCATATATACGAATATACTATATACTCGTATATACGTTCTCTGGCGCATTCTGTTTCCGTTTTCCCTCTCTATCGGAAAAACGAATTTATTTTGGTCAGCGAAAGTGGCGCTTTTTGATATTTTCGCTTGTGCAGTCAAGGCTAAAAGCGGACTCAAACCCGCTGATGGAAAAACCCATTGAATTTCCCGCAGAACTCTCAACTATTTCAAAACAGTACGGTGTCGAGAGTCGCATCAAATGGGAAAACTTTAACTTAATTTCACTCGTTCACCCTTGACCAGAAGCTAGAACCCAATTTGGAGTCACAAAAGTTCACTGGCCCATTATTATGCATGCTTCAGTGGCATTCAACATTTGTGCTGAACCCAAACTCAAATTCAAGCGGCACCATCATCATGACCAATAAATTCGCCAAGATGTCCATTTTTATTTATTTTCGCATTTCAAGTGTTTAGTTTACGCTTGAGAAAATCGCCATTTTCTCAACTTCATTGTGAAGAAAATATGTATATAGTATACTCGTATATATGCAACTGCAGGCAACATGTGCCCAAGGATCTGGGGATAAAGACCAAAGTCCAGAGCCGCCTGCAAAGTAAAAATAAAGAACCCAAGGAGCGGATGGGAAAAGAAACAAACTCAACTCAAGTCGACTCTGTCATTGCCATTTCAATTTCCGTTTGAATTTTGCACTTCATTTCGCAAGTTCGCAATTTTCTCTAGAAAAAATCCAGTCCGAACAAAAAACAAAACCAAACAAAAAAAAAGCCCAGGGAACAGAAGGCAGAATGCAAATACGTAAGTGTATAAACAAAACACAACGAGCATACACTCAAAATGGAGGAGAAGATGACAATAAATTGTCACAGAGGGAAAAGGGAGCGAAGGAAAAATTGTAAACACGAACAGCTCTCCATGATAATGATGGAAAATCATGGGCCCGAGCGAGAGACAATTGCACGTAACAGTGACTGGCACATCTTCTGTTTTCCAGCCAAGCCCCCAAAAATCCCTGACACCTACACTCAGAAAAAATGCTACAAAAAAAACAACTTAATATAACAAAAGGATACATCAGTTGCATAAAATGGTTACCTGTTTATTTATACGTTCAAGCTTATGAATAGTATTTTATACATAACTAGTAATAATATATTTAAATAGTAATATAACTAGTAATACAATAGAAATACCATTTTTTATTTTTTTATCTACAACATCAAAATTTTTTATCTTTCTTTTAAATTTGGTTTAAATGTGTTTATTGCGCACTTTATTGCATCTTAAAATGTTTGTAATAAGAACTATTTGTTGTAAGAACTAATCCGGCTTAAAAGGTTTGATTGTTTACCATTTTCATGATTTTTTTTTTTTGAGTGCAGTGGCATTGCCGTTGCCTGCTGTTTATTTGTTTGACAAATAACGAGGCAAGCCCATAATGAAGGAGGTGCAAATGATGTTGGCATTGTTTATTCGACTGCGAAATGTAATAGGCGCCTTCAAGGAGCAGGACCAAAAGCATCCAGCTGGGCGGGGTCGTGACTTCCAGATTTGCTTTACGTTTTTTATGGCTGATTTGACGGGAAACGGAAACGCGAAATTGCAAAAGCGCAATAAAGTGTAGCATAAGGGTGATTCCATATCAGATTTACAGTCGATATCGGGAAATTCGATGAGATATTTTTTTCATGCTCTTTATCAAAAATAAATCGACACGTATTTTTTTATATGGCTCAGAAAATTTTTTTGTAAAAGTTATGATTTTTTGAATTTTTGATGAACTGCCCTTTTTTTGATGACAGTCGCGTTTTCCAGCCCCAATAACTCGAAAACCGTACGTCGCAGAAAAAAAATGAATAGGAAGTAAAAATTTCATCCTTCCTTCTTCTTTGCAAAACTTTCATGAAAAAATTTTTTTAAACAATTTTTCACCACAAAAAGTTCAAATGTTTATAACAAATTCATTTTTCTCCAACTTGGACATTTTTGATTTTTTTTTTTCTTTCACAGTAAATCCTTCAAATTCTTCTGATGAACATACTAAAATTTCAGAATGGTATCAAAATTAGTTTTTGAGTTATAGAATTAAATAGCATTAAAAATTCATTTTATTGACCCTTACTATGCGCGCGCGAAGCGAATTGACGCTCGTTAGAGTCGTTGGTCGGCGCACGCCCTGAGACCGAGCGCGCGGACCGTGCATGATAATCTTTAAAATTCTATAACTCAAAAACTAATTTTGATACCATTCTGAAATTTTAGTATGTTCATCAGAAGAATTTGAAGGATTTACTGTGAAAAAAAAAAAAAAATCAAAAATGTCCAAGTTGGAGAAAAATGAATTTGTTATAAACATTTGAACTTTTTGTGGTGAAAAATTGTTTAAAAAAATTTTTTCATGAAAGTTTTGCAAAGAAGAAGGAAGGATGAAATGGTTACTTCCTATTCATTTTTTTTCTGCGACGTACGGTTTTCGAGTTATTGGGGCTGGAAAACGCGACTGTCATCAAAAAAAGGGCAGTTCATCAAAAATTCAAAAAATCATAACTTTGTCAAAAAAATTTTCTGAGCCATATAAAAAAATACGTGTCGATTTATTTTCGATAAAGAGCATGAAAAAAAATATCTCATCGAATTTCCCGATATCGACTGTAAATCTGATATGGAATCACCCATAAACAAAGGCTCGCACTCCGAATAAAACCGACTGCCAGATGGAAATATATATCTGAAGACGGCGAGAAAATACGGAATGTTTCAACTTGAAAGTAAATTTGTTTGCCACGCTGTTTGGCATTATGCTTTATCTTGTTTTATTGTACGAAACCAACAGATTCTTGTTCATCTTTTTTCCGCATTTTTATTTTCAATTGGTTTTGGTTGCCCGTTTTTCTGGGTTTTAGTGAGTGGTATTTGCGGTTTCGGCATGCAAATCATTTTCATTGCTCCCTTACCATTGTACGTTTTTGGCGATTATGGCTTTTAAAATAAAATGTAGATAATCCCACAAAATACAATTTTTGTATATGTTAAATAATCGTTTTCTAAATAGTTGCTACATTTGCTAAACCCTTTTCCAAACTATTTGCTTAATCATGTTAAATAGTTGGTTGGGTAAAATATTTATTATCTAATAGATTTTTAAGACCCATATTGCCATACAAGCCCTGTATAAAGTTTTTTATTTGTTTTGCCTTGCTTTTATAAATCATTTTGAGCTACACAAACTGATTTAAATGTGAGCGACCTAAGTCTTTAAAATTATCATGCAGAATTGACAAATTTCGAAACCTTTTCCTCAACTCAAATTGTTGTTATTTTCCACTTGTTTTTCTACTTGATGGCGCTTGAATTTGCTCAGGAATAACAAAATTTCTTAGTCATGTCTATCACTCGAAAATACGTGTGTGCGAGCCATTATGCAGTGTCAGCAAAGTTAAAGAAAAATAAGAAAATTCCTAAAGTATTCAAGGCGTCCGGATTGACGCATGCATTTCTCGCTGGAGGCAAGCTGCATATTTATGATTCGTGTGCGTCTTATAAATAAAGAAAATGGCAAAATGAAAATGCAAATGCAAAAACATCAGCACTGTGGAACTGTGTCAACAATGCGTGCCATAAGTCAACCTTTTACTCATAGTTGTGTGCCACAATCTGACCAAAGTCTTCTTACGTCTGCATCTGCATGCAAGAAATCTTTAGAAGTTGCAGAAAAATGTCAAGGTAAATGAATGGAATTTTTATCGTCCTTTAAAGTACTCTATTTATACTAATGTTTCTAGAATTTAATATAAAACCGAAACAGGAACAAAGTATAACGACATTTTAACAAAGAAATAAAAGAAGAGTTTATAAAATACATAATGTTTTCCTGACTTGCAAGGCATTGTTATTAATAATTTAATTATTTAAAGGCAAATATATTTAAGCTGTTTTTTTTGTATAATCATAGATATTACAATTAAGTCCTTAAAATAAGTTTATATATTTTTAAAAATTTTTATATGCTATCAAGGGAACGAATCATAAAGGGTATGAACCACATTTGCTGACATCAGCAGGACAAGTGAAAAACACATGCCAGGATTAAGGGTGGCAGTTCTGGCGGATCAACAGTTGGTTCTGCTTACGGTTACACTTAGGGGGTAAGGATACGGATGGGCTTGCATTCACAGATCCTGGCGGGCTCTTTCTGAAGCCAGTGAGGCATGGTCGAACTGCTTTATCGACGCTATGTAGGTTGCCAAGCGACCGTAACCAAGCGTTCCAAGCCCAAAACAGAAAACACAAAACGCAAAACAGAAGGAGCTAGCAAGGCGTAAGGAGTGAAAATCCCGGAAAAAAGAAAGGCTCTGGAAAAATGGTAAGAAATATGGCTGAAAAAACTGTTGTCAGATACTTTGAAGATACTTATGCCCTCTCCCAGATACTTTCACGCGGAAAAACCGACTCGGCGAGCTCGAGAAACGCCAGCGGAGGAACTGGCAGTGGACTTGGGGTCGGTCGGCAGGCGAGAAAGACCCCGGCACCGGCATCCCTCGAGGATTTCATCATCAAGCGGGACTACACGGGTGCCAGGGCATTTCTAGAGGTAAGTAAGGATTAGTTCAGAACTAAATTCCTTGAAAAACGAAACAAAAAGTTTCAATTTAAATAATTTAAACTATTTTCAGCAAGGGAATCACTAGCACATTTTCACAATAGCAGTGCTTTGTTTTGTCACCAGAATTATTTCTTATTAATTATTAATGGTTATTATTTGTGCGTAATTAAGATTCTCTTGAGATTCATTTATGACTAAATTTTTTATATTTTTTGTAACTTAAAAACGGGTTTCTGGAACAGTTGAAATGAACCCAAATTTAAAAGAAATAATTGCATCGTTATTAAGAGGGATTTTATTTTTTATTTGTTTACTAAACTTATTTAACCATCTTTTTCACAATAAGTTAATCAATTCGTTTTCTGATATGTCGAAGATCACTTAAAAAAAGTGAAACGAACTATCCAGATTTCGCCTCAAACGTATATTCGTCGACTGGAACTGCAGGAACATCTTCAGGGAACTGATCTTTAAAAACTAGACACAGATCCGGGTCACTAATTTCATCGATGCATTTGAGGAACGAGGGCGATAGAGGATCTGCCTTGACGACAAACAACGCGATTAATAGTAACAGAAACTGAGCAAAGAACTTCATAGTAGGAGATCACGATGCAATCTGACTTAATGCCAGCACCTTTTATACCTGTTTGATAGCCGCTGCTGTTGGCCTAGACTCGTTTTTGAATTACTTATAAGTTAACGACTCGTATATCTCTGCATCTTTTGGTCCGAATACATTAATCGATTTACGTTATTGATAGCCAGCATTGATCTCTAAACGATTTCTCATCAAACGCCTATTCACAAATGTATCATTATTGAAGTTAAAACCATGAAACTAAACGCTTTTGGGTTAAAAGACCTTTTAGAATGGTTTATTGATAATTGCTTTTGTGCTACCATATAGCACCACATAAGCTTTGTCCAAAAACTTGATATGTATCTTGATAATGACCTGTTTTATTTCAGATATATATCTGCAGTAGCGCCAGACTTGTTTTTTGATTATCTAATTTTTGCATTTCATTTTTGACTTTTAATATACCCCGCTTATATTAGTCATTGTTTGATCAGTGACGTACAATTTGGTAAATATTATTTAACGCAAATACTGGTTTTACCACAACAAAAATGTAAAGCATATAGTTTGAAATGATAAGGAGTTTAGATAAATCGTCAAAAGTCTCATTCATATGTTTAATTTTCTGTCAACTGTTTATTAAAGTACCGCTATTTTCATAATGTTTTGTAGGAATAATAAGTTAACTTATTCAATGTAACAATAATATAAAATGTAACAATAATTATAAAAAAAATGTATAAGGAATAGCAATTTTAACTTGTTCGTCTTTTTCAGTACGCCAACGATGATGAGGACGAGGAGGAGGGAGCCCACGGACCAAAACAACGTCAGGTGGATCAATGGATTGCCTTCTGCAACTTCCACTTGGGTGACTACCAACAGGCATTGTCTCAATACAAAGCCATTCAACAGAGTTCCGCGGGTTCTGATGGAAAACTGGATCTCAACCTGGCCGTCTGCATGTTTTACTTGGGCTTGTACGAGGAGGCTCAACAATTGATGGCCAATGCGGCTGACAACCCGCTAAAGCAGCGACTTCTGTTCCACTTGGCTCACAAATTGGGAAACGAAGAGGAATGGAGTCAGTTGCAGGAGGAACTCCAGGATTCATCGAGTTTGGAGCAACAACTTAGCCTGGCTTCTATGCACTATATGCGAGCTCATTACCAAGAAGCCATCGATGTCTACAAACGAGTTTTGGTGGACAACAAGGACTATCAGGCCATAAATGTCTACTTGGCTCTGTGTTTCTATAAGTTGGATTACTATGACATGTCCCAGGAGGTTTTGGATGTGTATCTAAGTCAACATGGCGATAGCACTATTGCTATAAACTTGAAGGCTTGTAATCGTTTTCGTTTGTTTAATGGCCGAGTTGCCGAGCAGGAGATCAAAAACATTGCAGATAATGGCACTTTTGGTGCAGATCTCTTGCGACATAATTTGGTGGTTTTTCGGAATGGTGAAGGAGCTCTACGTGTCCTTCCAGGATTACTTAATATCATTCCAGAAGCTCGCTTGAATTTGGCTATTTACTATTTGAAGCAAGGAGATGTTCAAGAAGCTCATGCTTTAATGAAGGAACTGCAACCCACTTCGCCACATGAATATATTCTTAAAGGTGTGGTTCACGCTGCTCTAGGACAACAATTGGGATCGGTAGGGAAATATTTTTCTTAATCTATAACTTAAGATACATTTTTAAATAATTTAAATCTTATTTTAGAAAGAGCACATTAAGACAGCCCAACAGAATCTCCATTTGGTGGGCAGCTCGGCCACAGAATGTGATACCATTCCAGGTCGACAAAGTATGGCCTCTGCCTTTTTTCTTTACGAACAATTCGAGGAGGTTCTGGTCTACATGAACTCCATTCGCAGTTACTTTGTAAACGATGATGTTTTCAACTACAACTTTGCCCAGGCAAAATGCGCCACAGGTTATTACAAAGAGGCGGAGGAGTTGCTAATGCAGATATCCGATATGGATATAAAAAACCAGCACACCTACTGCATGATCTTGGCCAAGTGTCACATACACTGTGGACACCCTGAGTTGGCCTGGAATGTATTCATCACCAGAGACACAAATGCTGAGGCTTTTATCCTGCTGCAATTGATTGCCAATGAGTGCTACAGGTGTTCAGAGTTTTGGGTGGCAGCCAAAGCTTTTGATATGCTCGAAAAGTAAGTGGAATTTTAAGACATTTTATTGGTAAGATTGATAACTAGATTGTTTTTTTAGACTCGATCCCAGTCCTGAAAATTGGGAGGGAAAACGGGGAGCCTGCGCCGGAGTTTTGTTTGCCTTGTGCACCAAAGCTCAAAGAGGTCGTCCTGGTGGAGGAATATCCGAGGTTATTGGCATTTTAAGAGACTCATCAAATTCCCAAGCAGAAGCCATGATTAAAACCATAAGGAAGCACATAAGTCATTTCAAATAGTCAGAGCAAAAAACAGTCACATTTTAATATGGTAAAAACTGTATTTAATATGGTTTTGAATAATAAAATAATAATTTAACCTCTTATTTTGTAATCAAATATAGCAGTTGGAAAATAATACTTATTTTCATCGAAACAATTTAGTACTGATTAAGTTGCAGTAGGCCAGCAAATCAAGCCAAGACAAATTAATTTTATGAGTTTTCTTCAAATTAACTAAGAGTTGAAATATTATTCTGATTTATTTTCAATTGGTTTGCCGCCACTTTTCCCTGCATAACTGATTAATTTTGGCACACACGCCCATCATTTGTATCCGCAAAACACTTTGGCTAATTAATTAGATAGAAATTTTACCAAGTAAAGTGAGGCCTGAATTTGAAAAGTTATGCCAGCCACTGTCCACTTAATAAATCAGGCGCAACAACTTTCAAAAACTAATTGATAATTAATGAAATAAAACCCCGTCTTCATCTTTTGTTGCCGTTGACGCTCGGCCAACGAAATTCTCTGCTCAATTTAATTCCCTTGAGAGGCAATTATGCTTGAAATGTGGCCCCTCCATTATTTCCTCCAGCCCCTATTGCTTACTTGGCCTGCAGTTTGCTTTTGTTCAATTTGCTGGCCATTTCGCCTGCAGGCCAAGGGATCCCAGATCCAGATTCAGACCGAGGACCAAAAACAGCAACTGAAACAGAAACAGAGGCCCAGCAGTAAATGAGAGAAACGCATAATTAATGCGATTAGCGAAATGCGAAAGTGTGACAGCAATAACAACAATACTACAATGATAATAGCGAAAATAAGGATACGGAAAGAAATTCCTTTCGAACTGGAAATTCCCTTTTGCAAGTATAAATTAGGTAAGTAAGTATAAAGAAGTAATAGTAGTATATTTAGGGGAACAAAAAACTTTAAGAAGTTTAAGCTTTTGTTTCTAAAAAAATCTAAATAAATTTCACTTAACAAATATGACAAATTATATATAATACAAAATACAAAAAACAGAAAATTTAAAGGTTTTAGATTTTTTAATTTCTAATATTTGTATAAGTCCATTTTATTTTAAACAATATAGATTACATTAAAATGTATACTTTAAAAAAGTGAAGCGAATCCTCCCCAGGATTCCTTTTAGGATATGGCACGCCTCTTATTTAGGTCCAGGTCATGGTAGGTCAGGTCCTGGCCCGACGGCACCACTTAAAGGTCCTGCGATGTTGCGATGGCTCAGCAAACCAGCGGAAATGTGTCGCAGCCATTTTGCCTAATTGGCTTTGCTTTGCTACACCAACAAAAATTAGCTGCGAGATAAACCGGAAATGGCGCAGCATTGAGCTTAATATATAGACATTTATATCTACAGATTGCAACTGTTTTTTTCGTTGTTTTGCCAACACTTTTACTAATTAGTTGCACAAATATTTAAACAAGAGCTGAGTTGAAAACTTTAAGAGCAATGCGGCTGCCATTTTTTACCGATGAATTTTTGTTCTCAAAAAAACTTTTGTCTGGCTATAAATCAGCTTCTTCTTGTGAATCCCCCGCAATCCCCTGCTATCCGCTCTTAACAATTCCATTACAAAAATTAAAAGCAAATGCAAAGCGAACTTTTTCCAACTAGCTCGAAAAAAGTGTAAAAACAGCAAGAAAATAGTTATTAAATATTTCTTTGGCTCAATTGCTGAGCAAACTTTTTCCAGCACCTACAAATAAATGAAAAGAAAATTTCTGCGCCGAAAAAAGACACCCAAAAGTTGATCCTGATAAAGTTGTGTATATATTTTCTTCTTAAATTTATCTTGACACTTTTTTCAGCTGCTTTTCTTCTTAAACTATCAATTTGCTTGATTATCGGTGGTGCATTTAATTGCTTTACACCAAGCAAAAGCTAGTCTTTAACAAGGATTTAAGGAAACTTTTATATGCACTTTTAATAAGCTACCAAACTTTTAAGTTAGAGTAAGTGCCCTTGAATTTATAGCTCTAATAACCGTAAATCCTCGGAAGAGCAGGTTTAATTAGGGCCAGTGGATACCTAACCTAGTTTAAACTGCTTTAATATTTATTTATGAGAAAAATCCAGAGATAGTTTGGAAAAGAGGCATTCACTTAAAAATAGATTTGATTTTCAAATATAATATTTGGATCCCTTGGCTCCAAGAGAGTTTCTCAAATAAAACAGATTTTAGCTTTTAAATTCACAACCAAGCCAGCCAAAATCTAGAATCAATACCCCCAACTAATGCCTAATATATGCACAGACTGGCCAAAACCTCAAGGTACTCTGCATGATTAACGAGTAGAGTTGATTTGGCAGGAGAAAAAGTGAAGTAAACTTTTCAGACACTAGAAGAAAACCTGGCCACAGGCCAATGGAATTAGAAGGAACAAAAAATGTTATCAAAGAGGCTGTGTGAATAATGGATTAAATTAAATTTTCAGCCTCTGCTCACAACTGTACTCAAACTCAAATTGAACGTACAAAAATTGTTTGCGACAACAGTGTTTAAGATAAATTTATGCAGTATATCATTCTGATTTTACAAATTCGTGTTAAAATAAGTACTCAATTATGAGTTCGGATGAGACAAAGATGGAGGCTGCCTACGAGCAATTGATGGAGGAGAACATCAGGGGTCAATTGGAGAAAAATGGAACCATGGCGTTACTTCGCAGTGAACTTCACGTAAAGGTCCTCAAAATGATGCGGGGTCAGCCGGATATAACCAGAGCTCAACTCCTGATAGGAGGATCCACTAAATCACCCGAGAATCGGAGCTTGACCAAGCTAATCAACAATCTGGTGAAGGAGTTCCTTCATTGGTTTGGCTATAAACACACCCTGGAAACATTTTGCATGGAGACGGATGAGAATATGGCCAATCGCACTGAAATGGAGAAGATGCTTTCCTTCACACCCGATTCAAAGGATATTCCCCTTCTGGCTCAGCTAATAATGCGCGAATCAGAGTTCAATCCGGATAAAGTTTCTGCCAATCGGATTGTCCAACTGCCAGATCCTCTGAGTTCCATGGCAAAACGTTGTAGTAAATTAAAGGAGGAGATTGAAGCTCTAAGAACCCAAAGGGAAACAAAGGTGCAGAAACTGGTTCAATACAATCGAAAACTCATAAAGAATAATCCATACGGGAATCAATCTACACCGAAAAAGGCTCAAAACACACCTTGTTCGTTAAAGAAAGAGAATTCCAAGGTTTGCATAGATAGCTCTGAATCTGATATTCTGGAATCGGATTATAGCGAAGATGATTCGGAGGATAGTGATGCCTACAAGGACATACCCGATAGGCATGTCTATATCGAGGATCTGCCGCCAGAAGGAAAATATGCCCCTGGCCATGGAGAAGAAGGTCCATACGAAGCCAAACAAAACAAGGCCAGAAGTGTTTTTCTAAATAATAAATATAAACAAGAACATAGTGCCGATAATATCCCAAGTTCGTCCAAGAAACAGATATCATCAAATAGTTCCAGATACCAAACTCCTAATTCTGACGACTGCGATTCGGAGGATAAGGATTTGCTCCGCAGAAAAGATAAAGTTTTGAGAAAGAAGAAACCCTTTAACTGGAAGTCCCCGAAAAAATTCCCGTCTCGTGAAGAAAATGGTCTAAAATCTGATGATGAATCAGTTCTCGCTGTCACAAAACCCGAATGCCCAGATACTCACATAGGAAAAATGGAATTCGACAGTCAAGAGACCTCGGATGATGATTGATTGAAACTTTAAAAAATTTTAATTCAGATTGGTTGTAAATTCATGGTCTTCTAAAATATTTAGAAAGCAATGTGCATAAATGTGTTTTACGATCTGAGATTTCTTATAAAAGTTTATTCAATATTAGCTTAATACCAAATGCGTTTCGATAACTCTGTAAAGATTAAGAAAAATAGTATTATATATGTTACTTCGAACATTTAAGCAAAGGATGTAGTTACTACCTTAATATTTTACCCATAAGAATTTACTTACGCTTAAGTAACGAATGCCCGCCAGAATTTACTTAAGTAAACATGTTCCTCTATTTAATATTCGAAACACAAACCAGGAGGTTAGCAATTAGTTAACTTGCCTTTGGGGCAACGGACGACAACCGAAATGGAGGTCGAGGGTCCGGCGACCATTGTGTTACATCATTATAATTGAAATCAATATCCCCAGATGATGTCTCCATGGGGCAGAAAGGGGAAAATCCGGGGCAGCGAACGCGAAACGGATGCCGCCTGTCAATTGGATTGCATTAAAATGGCGTGCGAGTCTTAACACCATTAATTACAACGGCAATGAGTCAATATTATGACAGTTGCAACTGTGACCCCGACAACAAAGGCTCCTGGGTGAGAAGGCAAATGCGGGAATGGTCGGCGGTAACCGAAACCAAGGCAATATCGACAGCATCTTCAATCAATTAATTAGGCCTATTGGGAATGTCGGGGTCCCTGACCCTTTTAAGTATTGCCGTACATGTGATTGATTTTATGCAGATGGTGAAAGGTTGAACACAGCCCCAGAGACAAAGAGATATATGGATGGGTTGACTGAGTGCTGAAAGGTTATATTGTTCTCAGGTGGGGTACTTTGAGTAAGTCGAAATAGTTTGGGGTTAAACTATTTCAGGAAGTTTTACATACTGTGAGAAATAGAGAATACGTAATAGTTGTTTTAATTAATGGTTAATAAATATCAATAATTCAGACTAAACACAGATTAACAAACGTATTCTAAATGCAAATAATTACAAAACTAATTTTTAAACCCACTTAAGTTTAACTTTTTATCAAAGCAGTTACAATATAATTTGTTTCTATAAAATTTTCAATATTTCGTCATATTTTCCTCCCTTCATTTGTAGAACATAAATCCCCTAAAATAAAATGTTTTTGATTACGTTTCCCATACTCTATACGAGAAGGTTTCTCCCCATAATTGCCCTTTTGTCCTCCGGCTTCCTCCACTTCATCAAACCCACACAAGGCACTCAAAAATATGGCCAGCAATAACGATGGCCAACTGGTGGCACGATAAACCAATGTACGTATTTGTGCAGTATCCATGTCTCTGCAACCGTATATATACATATATCCACATGGCGCATATCAATAACCTGTGCGGAGCGTACGAAAAATGCAATTTTAATTAGCCAGACGTGCGACAAACGCACGTAGAACGCATAACCGCAAGATGGTGCTGCAATTAGGCGAACCCATCCGAATCGCTGGCTATTCTCCGGGACTCCCGTTCCCATTCCCATTCCCATTCCCATTCCCCATTCCCGTTCCCAGTGCCAGTCACTCAGTCATTCGGCTACGTGCTGCTGGGCCAAACAAAATTATGTGGCTGAAATGGCCGCGGAAGGAATCAGGATGGGGAAGCAGGTTGGCTGGCCATGGCCAAATTACTTTATCGATTCGCCAGCTACATTTGTACAATTCGGCTTGTTGCATACATTACCCCTCGAGTGGGGCAACGTGGGTGGTTGGTGCACGAGGGGATTGGGAGTGTGGGCCCAATGGGGAAGCCAGCTGGATGACCACGCTAACGAGCCTCATTAGTGGCATGCGTGGCATTGGTGGCATCATTTCGTTCTTCTCGTTGACATTTGCAAACCGCCCGGAACGTGATTTCTTACGGGTTCAACGACGTAATGATTGTCAAGCGGCGAAAGATTAAAGAATCATTCGAAAGAGAAAGGGGGAATTTGTGGGGAAACTGAAGAGATAATTTCATAAGACATGTGCAGAAGCTAAAACAAAATGCAGTATTGAAAAAATATGACACATAGAATGGTTTAGTGTAAATTAAATGGTAATATATAAATTAAAATCAAATTAAATAACTTCCTAAATTAAAACATCGATTACAATAAATAACGTTTACTTATAACCCAATAGCAAGGCCACTAAAATCTGATTTATTTACCAATAACTCAGGCAGAAAAATTAAACTTCTTTACAAAAGTAATCATATTTAATACCAATCAGCTTAAGGTTTAAGTAAATTTTCGAAACCGTAAACTTCATCTACGCTTTGTACAATCCAAATTAAATTGCCACAGTCTGATACGGCTCCCATGGCGTATGTGTAATATTTCTGGTCAGCTATCCAGCTTGGCTTCAGTGGAAATGCCAAATGATTTGCGGTTTTATTCGAGGTCAGAGGACGAACGTCTCTCCAAACGACCACGCCCACACAAGTAGTCGAAGAGGCGGATCCGGATGGCAGTTGAACTTTTGTGAAACCAAACCTTGATGACTTGACGAAAACTAAAAGAAACCGAGTATCAGGGACAAAGCTGATCACCGAAAACTTAATGACACTTGAAGCGAACGAAAGTCAGGTTATGTATCGTATATATACGTACAGTGTGCGACATAACGACCTGGTTGCAGTGAAGCGGAAAACGCATTTTAGTGATTTTTAATGCGAAAGCAATTTGAAAAGTTTGCCTTCTTATCAAAAAAAAAAGTTTTAACGATAAAGAGATTTTCCCTGGACATATTCGGTTGTAAAAAGTTGATTATTCCTAACCACACGAGAAATTTTCTTCAGAAATCAATTTCATCAGACTGGAATAATTACTTTTTAAACATCAAATAAGAAACCAACTTATTGATTTTATTATTTACAGGGCCGGCGGAAGGTGTATACCGGGTGTTGAGCACTCCACACGCCAAATCTTAGCGGATGTGGAATTCAACACCCCAAAACGCTTGACTTGTAGAAAAAAATTTATTTACATCCATTATTATCAGTTGAATGTATGATTCAAAACTGTTTCTCCGGCCCTGCATATAGAGTATATCGAAGAAAAAGGAAGAGAAATCCCGCCTTTACCACGGCCCAATTAAATCAGTTTCTATTTAAATAGATAGATAGTAACTCTCCCAAATACTTCCCAAGTTAAGCATTTTCCAACTTAATGTAACAACTACTTAAATAATTATGAGATTATCATAAATAAATCTTTTCAGATTGGTACTTACTCAGTTAGCTCCTTGATCTGCACTGCAATCTTTCGTCTTTTTGAAGTAAGATAATCACCGCAACCACTTTATTCGCAACATTAACACTTAACACTTTACCCTGAAATTAAATAAAAAAAAAAAATAATAATAAATAATTTGTTACAAATAATAATAGTTAGAATTATTTTGTTAGTAAAAAAGGTATTTACCTCTTTGGGTTTTTTATTCACTGCATCTTGAAGTTCACTCCAAGCAGAAAGGAATAGTCATCACTGTAATGAAAAGAAGCATTCCAAAATATTAGTTAAATTATTTTATACAAATCGGTTGTTTAAAAAATACATACCCCAATGAGGTGATGCACTGCATTCTGGAGTGGAGTTCAATAAGATAACCACTGCAACCACTTTATCCGCAACATGTACACTTTACACTTTACCCTGAAATTAAATAAGAAAAAAAAATAATAATAAATAATTTGTAACAAATAATAATAGTTAGAATAAAATTTATTAGTAAAAAAGGTATTAGTAAAAAAAGGTATCTACCTCTTTGGGTTATTGATTCACTGCATCTTGAAGTACACTCCAAGTAGAAAGGTATAGTCATCACCTGTAATGAAAAGAAGCATTCCAAAATATTAGTTAAATTATTTTATACAAATCGATTGTTTAAAAAATACATACCCCAATGAGGTGATGCACTGCATCCTGGAGTGGAGTTCAATAGAAGATCACGCCATTCATAATTGATCCTGCAGCCTGTTGTCCAGTTCATTTATGTGGTGTCAGCATACTATATATTTCCGGTAACCGCATTCTTACAACTATTACTATATATATATATATTTATATTTATATTATATGTCCCTACTTGTTTACAATTATTAATTGTGTTTGATTTTCATGTACTTCAAGTTCAACATTTGATAAAATTTACCTTTCAAATTTCTTTCATGTTCTTGAAAACTTTCAGATCTTTATCTGTTTCTTTTAGTTTCTTTGTAAAAATATTTATGATTTTTTAAAATATATTTATTAATTAATTAATTATTTAATTATTTATTGTCTAAAGGATGTACTCACTGCGTAATAACCTTGGTGCAGTGCATCCTGATGTCGAACTTCAAGTTACAAGTTGGATGGTGTCACCAATTATTTTCTGCAATCAGCCAAATACACAACCAAAAACCTGAAAAAAAATATTAAAAAAATTGAATTAATTAACTTCATTTTTTTTACAAAAGCCACGTCATCACATAATTAAAAAAAACTGCAACTCACCTTTTCAGGTTTGGATGCCCTGCATCCTGGAGTCCACTACATGCAGGAAGGGATCGGGCACCTTTAAGTTCATGCCAAATCAGGTCATGATGCAGTGCATCCTAGGAGGAGTCGACCCATGGTGCACTGCATCCGGGAGTGGACTCCAGTAGGTGGAGTCGACCCAAGATGCACTGCATCCGGGAGTGGACTCCAGTAGGAGGAGTCGACCCATGGTGCACTGCATCCGGGAGTGGACTCCAGTAGGAGGAGTCGACCCATGATGCACTGCATTCGGGAGTGGACTCCAGTAGGAGGAGTTGGCCAGATACTCTCTCCCACTCTGGAACCACGTCACTAACACACACGCACACACACACACTTCCAGAGACCGGAAAAAGTTTCTTAGAGAAACTGCCGGTCATCCCGGAGAACTGAGAAATTGGCCAAAATCAAGGGGTATCCCACTACGAATCAGCCAGAACCACTTGGGAATTATAGGTGCAAGAAAACGAAAAAAATAATTAATTATCATTGTCGCTGACGTGGCCATATTAATTTAATTAACATTTAGTTAACATTACATTTACATTATATTAAATTAACATTATTTTAACATTAAATTAACATTATATTAATATTAAATGGATTTTAATTAACATTTTACATTTAAAATAGTTTTTTTTACCTGTTGCATTTTGATTGATTGGTGTTGTTGTTTTATTAAAATCGCTTTTAAAAAATATATTCTGTTCAATTCAGGATCCATCATATATCGTGCCACAAACAACTTCATTTGCGACCACCGTGGAAAGCACAACTCAAACGGAACCTCCTGCCGTTTCTCGATTGCATCAAATGTGGCTTTGCCTGAAAAGCGATAATAGTTTTCGAAAACAGCGAGAGCGGAATGCTGCGCCTCAGAAAAACGAACAAGGAGGCGCCAATGTTTATGTCAACAGTGTTTCCCTCATCATGATTTGGAATGATTTTGAAATTGATATTGAAAATTTGTGAGGGGATTACCCCACTCAAAACTGTTTATCCGGCCCTGATTATTTATATTATTAAATAACTTAAATTGTATTTAATTACGGATTGTCAAGTTTATAATTCAATAACGTAATCATTTTAAACCATAGTTTTCCTTGAGCTTAATATTAAGCTGCTTAAAACTTCGGTCTAGTAATTTCCTCGACTTTCAACATGTTCAACTATTTTTGAAGGGCTTTGTGAACGCACCTTTCAACTGTAACCAAAACTGGAACCGAGTCGACTGAATGTAATAAGCTTAAAACCCTCCAATAAGTGGAAATGCCAGCCTCAGGTGTGAGTTCCCACAACACAATTTAATCAGATCATATGTATATCGCAGTATTGGCAATAATATCTGATTTTGTGGGGATTATTTGTAGAAGGGCGGCAATCAAACGAGTGCAATTGCTGCGATTAACGTTTTGGTGCGAAGTAGCTGGTCTGAATACCTCTCTGCCAATTTATTTGAGCCGGTTGTCTATTAAGTTTTCCATTACAGCAGATAGCGATCGGGACACGCCCCCTCGGCAAACATTTCCCGCCCACCCCGTCCACAAACACATGGGCACATATGGGGTAACTTCAAACGTAAATCGAATGAAAGGCCCAAAGTAAAAGCAGTTACCAATAGCTAAAGACGTCAAGCCTTCGAGTCCCAGTTCCTCGAATGTGTGTGTATGTGTGCGAAGGTCCTGGCAAGTGCAGTCAGAAAGTGTGTGAGTGTGTGTGTGCGTGTGGGTGTCTGTAAGTGGGTAGAGCCATGACAACAATGGCATTTTGATACTTTTGTATGAGATTTAATGAAATTTGAATCCTTTTGTTGAGTGGAATGACAACAGCAAGGAAGCTGTTGTAGATGCCGAAGGAGAAAATGGGACAAGTGCCAGGAAGCAAGACGAAGGACGAGAAGAACAAGAAGTATTCGCCTGTGGGCAAGTTTCGTGATGCTACACTGCAAGAAATTAGTGTGTTTTATGAATTTTGGAAAAGCAAAACAGTTTTTTGCTTTGAGTGGAAAGATATATTTTTATAAATCATACATACCTTTGGGAACCTTTTCAACTGGTTTTAAATCTCTGCAGATATTTTAGAACGTAATTTAGGTTTACAATACCCATTGACATAACATCAATGTTCTGTTGAATTTTTTTAAAATTTTGTGACCACATTCTCAACTCAAAAATGATATCGTAATTTTGTTAAATTTCCCTTTGCAATATTTTCTTACAGTGCCCTCAATATTCATGTAGTTAAAGTATCTGCTTGAGTGTGTTGGTATTTATAAGTATAGATAAATGTGTACGTTTTGGGTGTCTTACAACAATAGTAAAACAATCTTCTTAATGCACACTTTGGCCTAAAGGAATTTTTCCACTTGTAAAGCGATACTTGCAGGAGATATGTGTTCCGGGTCCGGATTCCATCACCTCCCCCTCTTGAACCACCTCATCAGCATCGTCAATTTGGCATTCGATGTACATATACTGCGTGCGTGTATTTATAGATGCTAAAATACATATATATTGACAGAGAAACATGTTAATAAACAGCTGGAAGTTTGGTTTATTGTCATCGGCAAAACTCTTCACAAAGAAACATCAAGTCGATGGGAATAAAATTTGAGCAGACACACGAAGACACTGAGACAATATGCTCGGGGGAACTTGCCGAAAGGGTTCTCTTGTTTGTCCGGGGTTTTGCGGAGGTATCAATAACATTGTTGTCCTGGGGAAATGCTGGGTTTGGGGAAGTGGGTGCCACTCCAGATATTAGTTGCCCGACAAAGATGTCAGTTGGCAGCCAAGAAGGATGAGTGTGCGTTTTTGCGACGGAGCTTCATCTTTGTTGTCAACTCCTCGGGGTTCTGGCCCACACATCTCATGTTTGCCCATAGTTAAAACAAATTTTCAAGTTTAATTTCGTGTTGCCAATACATTGTATTGGCATTTTGTGTTGCGGCAGGGCTCTCCAAACACTCTGCTACATTTTGTAGAACACGAGTTTGAGGAAATGTTTTAATAAAATGTAGATTGCCAAAGGCAAGATCAAAGGGCAAGAAATGGGTGTAAGGAATCAATAAACTCAGTGTGGGTGCTTAGAAAATATCTATTCTTTTGAAACTGTAAGTTTGATTTGTAAATCAAGGCTAATAAATAGTTTTAGTTTAATTGTAATCACTTATTATGCAAACTCTTGATTAAAATTAAACCCACAATTATAAAGGTGTCCTGTTTCCCTTTTGACCTTCTCCAAATAACTATTTATTTAATCTCAAGCACATGTAAGCCATCTGCTAGCAAATTTACATTTAATTCCAGGCTCAGAACAAGCACTAAACATGCAATTAGTAGACCTCAAGTAAGATGGTTTGAGTGCCCCACTTTAGGGCAATTTTGGCTGCGAAATAAGGTAAAGGTATTTCATTTCTTAACTGACATTTCAGCGGTTTTTGGGATGTGCGGAACTAGTGTTTTTTCCAGAATTTTAATTAAAAAATTACTCATATCACTGGGGAAGCTGCGCTATCTTCCGCTTTCTTTGCCGCCACTGCAGAAGATAAATTTTCCGGCTTGACGAAATATTCGTGTGGTTCCTTGCTGGAGAAGTGTGTGGCAGCGGCTGCCTAAAAGTGTGCAGCAAGTTTATGAAAATTCCTTGCTTATGCGAAAGGTGTGTGCGTGCGCAAATTGTGTTGGTTTGTTAATTTTGCGCTGCTTCAACGTTGCTGTCAAATTTATATGCCGGTTAGCTCAGCTAGCAAAACTTTTTGGTTTTTGGCCTGATGAACCTACAGTTGTATACGTGCTTGTGTGATTTTCTAATTTATGAGCCCAGTTAGATGTGGGACAATGACGGCAAAACCAAAAAGTTAAGCGAAAACCTCCTTTGCTACTTAAACGATAACTTGAATTGGATTTAAACAGTTCAGAGAAATATACGATTTCTCAAAAACAAACACAAGAATAATTTTTTTTGGAAGAAATCTCATATTAAATATGATTTAAATAAAATATTTTCTTTAAATTTGTAAATAACATGGTTTTATAAATGAGAATGGAAAAAACTTTCTTTTATAAAACTTTACATCTACAAAAAGAGTTTCTATAACCACCTGACGTAAGCAAAAGTCCAGTGGTCACTGTAATTTCCAATATTCTTCATCGCAACCAATGCCAAAGTTGGAATTATCCACAAAAGAGCACAACAGAAACCCGAACGAAACAATAATGTTTGTGTTTTATTTCAAATTAGAATACGAATTCCCCATCTCATCGCAATAAGAAACAAACGAGGGCCCATGAAAAGTGGGATTTACAGGGAAAAACAGGTGCCCAAGTACGGAAAATGCTCTGCACACGCACACACACACGACACATTTGTGTGGCATTTGGCAGCTTAAATATTTCACAAACTAATATCAATTCAATTTGTATGCATTGACAACAGTGTGTGCGAGAGTGTATCTGTGTGGGTGTCTTGGTTAGGTGGTGTGCGTGAGCCCAGGTGAAGGAATTCGGGCAGGACGAATTATTTATGATTTCCTAATAAGAGCAAAAGTCAAACGGAGTCATGGAAACATGCGTCTATACGATTTTTTGCAATAACATTTTTTTACAAAAAGAATGAATGTTGTGTTAAAGGTTTTATTAGATTTCAATATCATTGAAACAATAAAAAATAGGTGATTGTTTAAGGAATGCACTTAGAATCAAACCAACTAAAATTTTATTGAAAACATTTGAAGCAACAAATAACTTGTTAATTTAAAATATCAATTAGCACAGGTCGATTTAATGGTTCATAAAAAAGCTTTGATGGGTATCATCCACCTATTTCATTTACTACAAGAGGACTTTCGAATTTCGATAACCGCGCCAAATTTATCGCTCCAGCAACAAGGTGGCAGTTTTATTTTGAACAGCTGTCTTACCGCAATGAGTTGGCAGCGCTGGCGCTTGGAGTAAACTCTAAATTTCTACGTGGATCAGAAAGTCCAAGACAAATAATGGCAAATAACCCAAAAAAGGAGGAAGATGGTGCCAATGACTGGGATCAAAGTGACGAGGACGACAATTGGGACGACTGGGGCGACGACGAGGACAAGTTCGTCCACGTGGAGAAGGAACAGCAGCAGGATGAGAAACCCCCAACCAAAAACGACGCAAAAACGGCAGAGAAAAATCTGGAGAAACCGGAAACTCCAGAAGTTACCCCAACCACAGCCACGACATCTTCTTCGTGGGGTCTGTGGGGCGGAAAACTTAGTTCTGTGCTAAGCACTGCCACCGAAGGGTTGGGCACCATAACCACGCAAGTGAATCAGGGTCTTAATCAAATCATAGGAGTGCCCGATCCCGAGGAGCTGGCTCGCATGAATGTAGCTGAAAAGGCAGAAAAAGCTGCCAAGGAGCCAATAGAGAAAAAGGATAAAGAACCAGAGGAACCCATGGAAGATGAGAGCAAATCTGCGCAACCCTTTGGACTGGGTTTCGTTTCCAATTTGGGATCCAAGGTCCTCAACACAGGACTTGACACTCTCGAGGGTATTGGCAAGAAGACCATGACCATTCTGCAGGACAACGATCCCAAGCTGATGAACAAGAGGAAACTCCTCGGCCTGGAGACCAACTCACCCAATTTAAGTGCCGTGCTACTTGAAGCAAAAAAAGATGCCGACCAAATGGAGCAATCCCTGCACCAATTGCAGTTGGAGAAACAGAAGGCCCAGTTGTGCTTCGATGTCCTTTTCGAGCATTACTGCGGCCTGGTGCATTTCGAGGCCCTCGAAATCCTATCCAAGGAATCGCGCCTCAAGTTGGATACCCTTTTGGATGCAGTTAGTGGTAATGCTCTGGCCGAACTCCAGGAGACCATCAACGAAGTCAAAGAGCTGCTCGACTTGGAGGATCTGGATGTGGAGAGCGAAGGCGACTACGAGCCGCAGGAGCTGAGCGAGCGACTGTCGGACACCATTAAAGATGCCGAGCTGGGTATTCAATTCGAAGAAATAGCCAAGTGGGTATCATTTTATAAGAGGGGTCAACCATACTTGTTAAAAATGGTTATTAATTTGTGGGACTACGTATTTTTAACCTTTTTGAAACCGAAATTGGTTGGCCGTTCCCCTTATTGTTATCTTCTTAATAACTCCCAAAAATCTAATTTTTCAGGCATTGGACGCAGTCCCTCGAATGGCTGAACTCCGAGGAGGCCACCTCCGGCGATCTGGATCAAGCCTATGCCAAGAGCATCCACGCTTTGAGCGAAGCGTGCGCTCTGGAAATGTGCAAACTACACAAAATTGCCGAGCTGCTGCTCGTAAAACCACATCACAGCACCGCCAACGAAGTGGATGGCGTGGTCAATCTCTGCCAGCAATTTAATGGGCACCTCCAAGGACTTAGCCACCGATTTGCCGCCGTTCTGAGCGGCAAACCGGAACCGGCTGAAGCCAAAGCCAGAGTCAGCACATTCTTCTCCGAAATGCTTTCTGCCGTTCAATTTATTGAAAAGGCATACAAACTTTTCACGCCCATTTTGCAAATGGGAGCTGTCTAGGCGGATGATTTTATTATAATTGTTGTACTTGCTATTTTTACGATTACTCGGTTTATGTCCTCAACACTCTTGTTTTCCATATATATGTATACAAAGTATAAATGATTGCGATGAAAATGCTTGTGATAACATTCCAGATATTATTGAGAAATTTATTCATAGGATCAGTCGGGATTGAAGATTAGGTACTTAAAACAAATATGTTCTCCAAACTTATTTTTCTTCTTTCCTAACCTTTAATTTTGCATTCTTATTCAAGATTCCGACAATATAAAATTATTATTATTATTATTTTAAAATTTCCTGATAAGCACGGCGATAGTTTTCAAGCACTGTCTGTTTATTTCCGTTACGATTCAAACGCTCTAAAACCCGATTGCTGAACACAAAAATCAAATTTCTTTTAGTTCTCCAACCATTAAATTTAATTTCCACCATGGGCGACCGTAACAAGCGACCTGTTATCTTGCTGAAGGTTCCAACCTCCGATGATTCCTATGGATCGGCAATGCGCAACCACAATCTGGATCCTATATTCATTACCCCCTCCCACTTTGTCTTCAAGAATCTGAAACAGTTGCAGGCCAAGCTCCAGGAGCCCCACAAGTATGCAGGGATAATCTTTGCTGCTCCTCGATGTGTTCAGGCGGTGAACGAGGCTCTGGATAAGGCACCACTACCAAGTTGTTGGCGTCCGTTGCACAACTACTCCCTGGGAAAGAACACCCACAGTTCGGTTTGGTTTACTTTGCAGAACCTGCCGACTCTGGGCGATCATGCAATAAACGCAAATAACCTGTGTGATTTGATCGTGGAGACCTTCGGGCCCAAAAGGGATCTGCCGCTGCTAATGCCCTGTGGCAACGGCGTTGGTCAGACGCTGCGACTCCGCCTGGTGGCCCAAGGATTTCGGGTGGACGCCATCGAGGTATACGAGAGTAAGTCCCATCCAGAGTTCGTCAATCAGATGCGACATGCCATGAAGTTCAAGCGCATGGAGACGATCGTTTTCTTTGGACCCTCCAGCGTTCGTAGTGCCCTGGAGTTCTTTGAGAACTACAACGTTTCGCTCAAGGATCGCAAGTTGATAGCCGTGGGAAGCGGTACCGAAAAGGCAATGAAGGATGCTGGGATAAAGGCAGATGCCATAGTGAATTCCACCGACGTTGACCAACTGATAAGAATCATCAAAACGTAGTTCAGACGGCGAATTATTCTTTTTGCTTGTTGTTTTTACCTGTTTATACTTTTGGTATGCTTTCAAAATTACGTGTCCTTAAGGGAACCGAAACCATTCGGAATTCCATTAAATAGGAGAACTACTTACCAACTTCCAAAAATATTAATAATTACGTGTTGTTTTTAGTTTTTATTTTACAACCAATGGTTTAGATATGATAAGTGGAAAACATTTGATAAGTGATAACTAGTTAAGCAGGTTTATACTTAACTGAGATAATAAAGAAGAGGAAAACATGTTCTTAAAAAAACTTGCAAGGTCCGTACAAGTGTTTAAAGAAATTGTTTCCGATTTCAAATGATAACGAATATATGGAATTCACTTTTAACTTAAAAGTCTAAGTAGATTTTTTAAGACTGTCGAACAAATCATCCTGTTGTGGCTTAACGAAAGCAGATATTTTGGCCTTTTTTGCAGTCAAATTATCACTTGCGAGCTATTACAATGGAGAAAAAATACAATTAACATTTTAGTAAACCTCTGGTAATTCGATTAGTACTTACGGGTTGGCTCTCGTCGCTTTCAAAGTCAGATAAATAAGCACTGGCCAACCGTTGCTGTCGGGTATTACATTTATTTGAAGAGCCCATGAAGCCATCAGTTACTCTTAATTGCCGCTTTTTCTGGAAAACTTTGATTTTGACTGATCCCTGAGAATCTTGGGGCTTGGAGCCCGATAAAATGGTAGGCACATTTTGGACTGGTTGGTCGATTACACTGTTAATTCGATTCATTTTAAATTGGAGCACGGCCATTTCATTCTGTTGGACGTAATATATTTTTTTAAAGATTTTGTGTTTCAATATAATTTATACTTACATCTTTTTGGCGCTCCATTTCTATTATCTCGTTTTCTTTCTTTTTTATTTCCAACTCCATCTCCTTTACCTTTTGCTAATAAGGATTAAAATGCTCAATAAAGAATATATAATAAAATCTTTTACATTTTTAAACTTACGTTAAGTGTGTCTTCCTGAGCCTTAAGGTCTTGGATGAATTTTAACTTAGCATCGGAAAGTTCATAAACTAGTTTCTCCTTTTCTTCCTGAAGATTGGCAAAGGAAGACTTGAGCTTGTCGTGATCAGCCGAAAGACTTTGAAACTTCTCTAATTGACTCTCGTACATTACATCCTTTTGCATTAGTGAATCTTTGATTGTTTGAATTTCAACTGCAGTACGCAGACTTTCGTTTTTCATGTCTTGAATTTGATTGGATAGCTTGTCCTTCTGTACCCTCAGCTCTTCCTCAAAACTCTGAGTTTTTATTTGAAGTTCATGTGCCATACTTTTTTTAATCTGCTCCTGCTTGTAATGCTCCAATTCCATTTCGTTTATCTTGTCTTGGAGTTCGGAGACCTGAAGAAGATTTTTCTTTTCTATCTGCCCACTGCTATCTTTGACCTTTTTAAATTCAAGTGATGCCTCATTTAACTGGCCTTTTAATTTCAAAATAGCGATCTGTCAGTAAGATAAAAATAATCAATACATAAATTATTCGTTATTTACCTATCTTGACCTACCTCGTGAGCATTAGCCTGCTCTTCCATGTCTTTTAAGTGCTTTAATTTGGCTTCAGATAATTCTTTATCATAATTTTCGTTGATATCAATCAGCTCACCCAATTTAGATGTCAGTTCCTTTAGTTCGTTTTCAAGGGAAGCATAGTTTCTGTCCTTTTCCTCAATAAGAGTTTTAAATGTGTTGATTTCATTTCGAGCTAGTTCGAGATCCTTTGCAGCTTGATCGGTCAACCGTTGTTGTTCCACGCAGCGCAGATCGCTTCTTTTCAACTCGCTTTGGACCTTGGATAAAACTTTTTGGGATTCTATAGTAAGCTGTTTATTGCGCTCTTCAAGTTCGGCGCAGGTATTTATCTTTTTATCTAACTCGATCATTAGCTGCAAATTGTTAGCCTGTGAAAAATAGTTCCTAAGCTTTAGATATTTATTACAATATTTATATGTAAGATCCTTAAAATTCAATATTTTTAAAACTAAAATGATTTGTGTAAATCTAGTAAGTATTTCCAATTTAATTTTATAATGATAACCGTCATTACCTCACAATTTTCTTTTTGGGCAGTCATATTTTCAAATTCTACCCTAATGGCTTGGCAATCCTGTGTGATTTGCGCATTTTTTTCCAAAATTTCTGAGTTAGTAACCTGAACTTCATCCAATTGAGTTCTTAAGTTACTAAGGGCTTTTCCCAGTTCACGATTGGTTTGTTGCAAATCAATAAGCTGCAATAAAAATTACACATGTAATGAATGATTTGATCATACTTTTATTTGTGAAATGTATTACCCCAAGATCCTGTTCAGCAATTCGAGACTGTGCTGCTTTGAGCTCTTCGCTTTTTTTCTCCACACTAGCTTTTATGATCGCCAGCTCATTGTCATAGTTCTTCTCACACTCTATAAACTTTTGGTTTACTGTTTTGTACCTATTGATGTTTTCGATATTCTTCCCTTGCTCTTCAACAAGATCCTTTTTCACACTGGATAACTCCTGATCAATGTAAGTCAATCTAAAAAATGGTTTTTATTGCAAAAAAGGAACATATTATAAAGTTGAAGACTTACTTTTCCTTTAGGTAAACAATTTCCGATTGTTTTTTTGAAGCATCCAAAACGAGGGCTCTTAATTTTTTGGCCCCTATTAAATTATTACGTTGAAGACTTGAAAGCGAGTCGTTTTGTTTTTGAACAGAGCAATCCAAAATTGTCCCTGTACATGGCGATATCTTCTTTATCTCCTCCCAAATATTTTCCGGACTTTTGAACAACTTTTTTTTTGGTGTATCAACAGAAGAAGACCTCTTCTCGGTGTTTCTTTTAGGACTCTTTACCGGAATCGGAGGATTGGTATCATCATTTTTTGGTGCTTGGCCGTCTAGAGTTTTTTTGTGGGACTTTTTCTTGCGAACGTATTCGAATGGGGATTCATGAACTCGAAGCTTTGGATTTTCTGGAGCCTTTGCCGTAGGGATAGGACTTCGCCGATCGTCAGCAACTGTACTCTTTTTAGGCACTTTTGCGCGAACCTCATCGGCAATTTGCTCGGCAGTTCTTTTTTTTCCCCCCGCCATCAGTTTTCTAATCCAGCACTATTTCTATTCCAGCACTTTAGTAATTGGTAATTGCGATATATTTAGAGCACACATTAAACAATAATCGAGCTATATGTACTTACTAGATTTGTATTCAGCTTTGCGAAATGTCTGTTGCAGTTAAAAAGTTTTGGTAAGCGCGTTTTAAGGTTGCCATACGGCTAGAGCTCACTTTATGGTCGCGTATAAAACTTAGTGGCTACCACCTACAATCCGAGTTTTCAACCCATGTTAGTGACAAAGCTGACAGAAGGTAGTTATAACAATGTACCTAGGTTAACAGGTACATTTAAGCTGTACCTAGATAATGTAAAACGAATTTCTGAAGTTTGTTCTGATATTTCAAAATTAGTTTAAACGCCTGTTTTTAAATTTTATAATGTATAGCCAAAAGAGATAAATATTATTTTGATTAAGTTATAAAAACATTTTTTGAACAGCCCTGGTCTGTGTTGGCGCCCTGGATACGTCACTATGGCACTATTTTATAATAATTCTATTTTGGTTGTCAGAGCTCTGGTTTTCCTATCTCTATTTAAATATCCTGGTGCTGATTGTTCGGAAGGGCTTCGAAAATCCGATCCCCACGATATAATGGCAGGATCTGGAGTTGTCAAGCAGTTGTTCGCTTGCAATTTCGAGGTGTTTGGTCGAGTGCAAGGTATTTAGTCGCTATTTGAAATCCTTATTTCGATACGATTTTTCTAACTAATCTTACTTAACTTTGGAAAGGTGTATTTTTTCGCAAGGTAAGTGTTGTGTGGTGTTCATAGTCAAATGATCCAAGAAAGCCATTTCAGTACACGGAACAAACTGCGAATAATTTGGGTGTAAAAGGTTGGTGCATGAACACCCGAGATGGAACCGTAAAAGGACAATTGGAGGCTCCTTTGGCCGAGCTTAATGAAATGTAATTTTGCGGGCTCGCTGTAGCCAATATGAACTATCACGTTTGGTATTAATAATTTTCCTATTAACTATTTTTTAGGAAACATTGGCTCGAAACGAAGGGAAGCCCCAGTTCCAAAATTTCAAAGGTCGAGTTTACGCCTTCCAAGGAAATCAATGCATATACCTTCAGTACGTTTGATATTAGACGTTAAGAAATGTTTTTCGAACCATCTATTCGAGGTTTTGTTTATTTAAAAAACCCCTAAAAAATCCCAAATATATGTAGTCCCAAAACAAAAATTGATAGTGATACAGGGGTGTATTTTTTGGTAGCAGCCCCTCCAGGCGTTGCCAGATAGCTGAAAAAGAACGGAACCGCAATAGTTGTCCTGCTCGCACACACAGCCCTGCGCCGTGCCACCGCCATAGACGGCACACGTGCGAGAGCGAGAACACCGGCTGTCTAACAGCGCACTTTGGTCTGGCACAGAAACGAGTACAGCTTCGATACACGTCGTTTTGCCAAAAGCGTAGCAGGGCAGCCAAAGCAATGAAAAAAATAAATGAGGAAAAAAATTCGTGAAGCGAGAACCGTACCGTAATTCCCCCAGTGCGAATCACGCCATTGTGTAAGCAAATCTTATTTGCTATTGTGCGAGGGCATTTTACGAGTAACGGCCGAATTGTGCGTATAACGAAAAATATACTACTTAAATTTTCAAGCAATTTACAAATTCTTGCGTGCTGCCTGCCTGCCGTGTCGGTGTGTCTGTGTGCATGTGTTAGTGAGTACTTTGGCGCTGAAAACATTTTTCCACTCGTTTTTTGACGAAATCTGAAAAATATTGAGTACAATACACGCCCGACCGATCTTAGATGTAATTGGAATTAATAAAGCCATGTGGAGAACAATAAATGCGATTGTGTAAATAACTGAAAAATAGTGGAGCACACAGTTGCACGTGTGAGTGAGTCTGTGGTTGTGTGTGTGTGTAAAGGCGCGAGTTTCCGTTTGATTTAGCGAATTTTTGTGGAAAAACTCAATAAATGATATTACATAAAGACATCGAAACCTGGGCGGCAATTTCCCGCCATCAGATGATGCAAAATCTTGGAAAATTGTGATTTTCGAGAGCAACCGCAATGATTTCGTCAGTATGTAAAGCAGTCTGTCCGTGTGTATGTGCGTGTGTGTGAGTTCTATACATTTTTTTTTATTGCGCATCATGGTGTGCAATAGCGCGCGTTCTGACCTCTCTATCGCTCTCATTGCCTCTCTCGCAGCCACAGCGTCGCAATATGTGTGTGTTCGTGTGCTTACATATATATATTTGTAACGTATGTACATAACACGCCGGAAAAGACAAAAAAAAAAAAAAAAAAAAATATTCTGATTCAAATTTCTTAGGGAGGCGGGCGTTTCAACTGAGATAAAAAAAAATACACAACAAATAGTATATTACAAGCGGCTTCCAGCCGAACACGCAGTAGTCTGTGAGGGTGTTAAAAAAGGAATCAGTGTGCCAATTGTTTGCCTTCAAAAACGTCGATTTGCCGAAATAATTGACCGTTTTCTTTGAAATTCTGTACAGGATTAGCATCGAGTACCCCAGGAATCTAGCGGACCAAATGCCGCAGAAGCCGGCCGCCGGATCAGCATCAAAACGATGGCCCCAGCGCTCACAGCAGAGCCACTAAGTCCCAAGGAGAAGCTAACCAGCACCGCCTCGCCCTCGGCTCGCAGTTCCTCGGAAAGCGGAGGACTTGTCGTTGGCGGAGGAGTGGTCGGAGTGGCTAAAAAGCCGGCAACGCCCACGCCGGCAATAGCAACAACACGCGTCACCCGCTCGTCTGCGGCAGCGGCCACAGTGGCTGCTTCCCCGCAGCAGCAGAGATCCTCGCCAGCAGTTAATAACAAACGGAAGTCCGGCAGTGCTAAAGTCAGCAATGATCCAATGGGGCTGAGCACAGCCCCCAATCCACACAGCAGCAGCAGCAGCAGTACTCCCAATCCCTCGACGGATGCTGCAGTTGCATCCACCTCTGCCTTGGAAAACAACAATAATAACAACAGCAGCAGCACCTCCACGAGCAACAGCTCCACACCGAAGGACAATTCCACGGCCCAGCTGCTGGCGGATTTAACCATAAATTTTGAGGAAACCATTTCCGCTGAGATTTGCCTAAGGAAGACCCTGCCCGATGTGAGTCTGGGCAAAGAACCGGCCACGCCTGCTTCCGTGCTGGCAGTGGCCACCGGATCTACAAGTTCCGGAAGCGCGTTGATAGGGGAAGTCCCGATGTCTGCAGCGGATGAACTGCAAAAGATGGAAACAGATAATATAGAGGGTAAGTCCAAACGGTTACTCGAAATGAGACGCGTCAATTCAATGTTTTCTTGGCTTACTATTTTAGAGCGTCTCAGCCAGCTGGATGGAAATGCCAGTGTTATGCTGGAGGATCCCGTGCCTCCCCCTTCTGTACTACCGCCTGTACAAGAATCGCCCGGCACGCCCAGCAGACCGCAGCAGCCGCCTCTTAATGCCCAGCTGGAGTCACCCCAGCCGACGAGGACGCAGCAGCAGCCACCACTTCAACAGATGACGCCGCAGAGCACCTCCAGTTCCATAAACTTTCTGAAAGACGGTGCCGCCGGCGCAGTGCTCGAGGATCAGGACATCGAGGAGGTGCTTAAGGCGCTAAAGACATTTGACGGCGGCCACGTTAATCCCGATACAATCTGCGAGTTCTTTAACGACGTGTGGGAGGAGCAAGCTCCTGCAGCGCCCTTACCCGCAGCAGCTCCTGAGAATGTTGTCGGCCTGCCGGAGGTAAAGCCCAGCTGCAGTGGCAGCGAGGACATCCTTGTTAGCAGCAGCAACTGCATTTCCCAGGCGAATGCGAGTGTCAAGCATGAGCTGAGGCCCTGGCAGGAGAGCCACGCTGAATTGGAGCAGCAACAGCATAGGCTGTCGCGTCGCATTGACTTCTTGCTGCGCAGGATGCGCAAGACGCAGGCGCGCCTGATGTGCCGCCACACCAGCGAGGAGGTGGCCGGCATCTTGGAGTGGTCCGCCCGCAGTTCCCACAAGGCGCCCAATCCGGCGAGGAGTGCCACACTGTCCGAACAGGAGGCCACCGTCCTGTCGATTGTTTCCGGAAGGCCGGGCGCTTCCTTCTGGGAGGAGCACAACAAGCATCCGCTGCCCGCCAGTCAGATGAGCAATGTGATCCGGCATATTACGACGGCGGCCCGAAACCAGCAGATCTGCCAAACGGCCAGCGGCAGTTCAGCAACTCTGGCGCCATCCTCCAGCTGGTACAACAACTCCAACAGTTCAACGCTGCCGGGAAAGCGTCCGCGAAAGAATCAACTTGATGCTACGATGACAACGGGATCGGCATCTGCATCTTCGTCGGCAGCGGGAGCGGCAGGCACAATGGGATCCACAACGGATGCGAATACGCCGCGCGCGGATGACATTGTGCCCAGCTACGACACCTATGTGACCAGCGAACTTACCCATGTGGCCGGTTTGCTGCACACGGAGCTCCGAGAGGTGCAGAACGCCATCGATTCGGATGCCACGGAGTCCAGTTCCGGTGGTGAGTCCGCCGACGAGATGGTCACCTACAACAACACCCAGCAGCTGTCGCTATCCATGTGAGTACAGCGGTCAATTCTTGATTTTATAATTTTCGTATGAACCCTTAAACGCTCGATGGGAGTTAACTATCAAACTGCTTTGCCTTCTGTTTGTTCAGTGTGGCTTTCCAGCTTTTTAGCTGCCCTTCCTGTCAGTTTTTACAGATTCACACTGCCCGATAGACTGGGAATTTCTTTGATTGCCTATTTTGTTGCTGCATTACTTTGTTGGAGTGTATGATTTGACAGTCAATTTAAAAACGGTTATTTGAATTTCTTCATAATTTTGGGTAGCCCTGAGTAAATCACAAAGCTTGTGTGTTTATTTTTAAACTCTGGAGTGTTAAATTGATTTGTTTTTAATTTTTAATAGACAATAAATTTATTTATTAAAAAAAACTTTCCTACAAAACTTAGAAAAGTATTTTTCAGCACGTATTTTTCTGCTCTTAACTTACTTATTCAATTATATTTTTTTTAGCACCCGACGGGCCGTGTGGCGGTATTCGAAAGACCGAGCAGGCATAGCCTTGCGCTGGTCGTGGCTCTGCTCCCAGCTGAACGACCTGGACATGAAGATACGCCAATACCATGATCTTCACTTGGAGCTAACGCAGTCGAAGGGTCATGTGCAGTTGGAGGCCACAGCCAAGGCATTGCCGTTGCTGCCACCGCCTGCCAATGGCATCAAGGAGGAAGTATCCCCCGACTATCTCTGCAGTCGAACGAGGCCATTGGTGCAGTCCGAGTTCCGCAAGCGCAAGCTCTTCCAGACGACCAACATGCACACGATTTCCAAGAAGGCAGCGCGGCCCAGCAACATTAAATGCGGCTGCCAGTGGCCGCAGGTGCCATGTACTCTGTGCACGGGTCGTGCGGATCCCACAGCGCCACGGGATCTGGTCGAGACGATGATGCCGGCCAACCGGGTGGCGCTGCTCGACGCAGGCTACCATCCAGTGCTCAGTTTCGCCAGTGGTGAGTGGGAGTTTCCACTAAAAGGGCATTTCTGGCTTTTATTCTTAATGAATTCTCATTATTTGTAATTGGCCTATATTCGCTCTCTAGTTTTTGTTAAAACATTTATGAAAAAGATTTATAAAAATATTATTTTAACAGATAAAAACTGTCGGTATAAAAGACTGATTTAAGTTGTGTTAACCAAATTATTTTTCCTCAATAAATTCCAGTATTTTTAATTCAAACTTTGTCAGCCTAAGCACACCATTTGCGTTAGTTTTAAAGTAAAAGCATTTTAAAAATCTAATAGTTATCTAAGAGTTATTTTGAGGCTGTGGAACTTTTTAAAAAGGTGTTTAACATGATTTGCAATAATGAGAAAATTAAATCTGGAAAGCCATTAATGAATTTATCTACTTGAATGCTTATTTAAGTCCTCTTCCTTTCCCTATTTTTTGCAGATGTCAGCCAGTCTGTGCACTTGGAGGCCGTTGCCCGCCAGCCGGACTGGCAGTACCGCGTCATGCGCTGCCAGACCAAGGCCATTGTTAAGGCCATGTACAAGGCGGAGCGCGAGACGCTGGCCTCCGGCGGCATCGGCGGACAGGCTGGCAGCCGGCGATCGGGCGATGGCGTCAAGCGGCGTTATATACGACGCAAGGAGCGCAACAATAACTCAAATAAGGAGGCTGGCAGCGGAGTTAAAGCTGCAGCGGCGGCAGGAGGAGGAGCGGGCGGAAACGGAGGCGTCGGGGGAGGGGAGAGCGGAAACGGTACTGGTACTGCTACTACTTCTTCTTCTACTACGCCTACTACAACGCCACTTGTGGCCAACAGTAAATTATTGTAAACATGACGAAATTCGATAATTGTTATTAACATAAAACAACAACAATCTTTTGCATCTCTTCTTCTTCTTTTTCTTTGCATCAATCAACCAAAACACGAAAATTCCACAACAACACCATCACCACCTCCAACAACAACGACAACAACTCCTCCACCAATTGTTTTATTTTGCCATTCCGTTCTTTGTCTCCGTCTCGTCCTGAATTGCACTCAAACTCTGGACTTAACGCAACACCAGCAGCGGCCAAGGGCAAGAGGCAGCCACAACAGTCAACTGGAGCGAGCAGTTCCAGCTCGCCGTGGCCAGACTCTCGCCAACGCCAACAACCACGCCACCACAGTCCCTCCTCAACCTCGATCTCGACACAGAGCGGCGCTAAGAGGTCACGCAAAGCCACTAACACCAGCAGCAGCAGCAATTCCACACAGCAGCAGCAGAATCAACACGGCAGCAACATCAAAAACCATCATCTCAACGGATTCGGGGATCAGTGGGGGGAGCCAAGCAGGAGTCGTCGCAACTCCTCGCCATCCCACAGCCATCGAAATGAAAGGTAGGCATTGGCTTAAATTGGACAGTTTGATCACAATCAAAAAGGGCAATTTGTAATTCATAATTAATGCGATAAGATAGTTTTTTTAATGAGGAGGGCTCATTTCTTAATCACTCGTATTAAGAACAACATTTTTGTTTTCTTTTTATAGAACCTCGGAGCGTCGCGTTCGTCCCATCTACGACATCAATAACATCGTAATACCCTACAGCATGCTAGCCCAGTCGAAAATGGAGATTCTTCCCTACAAGGAGATACCCATACCAAAGTAAGTACATATTCCAAATAAAAGTTGTTTCTTTGGAAGCAGCGTTATTTTACCCCCATATACAAGATATAATTATTGTAATCACTAACCCTATCGTTGCTTTCAGGTGGCGCATTGTAGACAGTGATAATGATAAGGCAAAACATTCGTCGGATGAGTCAACCGATTGCAAACTCAGCAATGGAAGTATCGCATCAACGTCAGAGGAGCTATCCAAACAACAGCCCCCTCCCAACCGCAACCACAACAACAGCCCGCCGTACAGCCTCCAAAGGTCAATGGGTTGAGGGAAAAACAGGCAGTCAAGCACAATAACAATAGCGTAAACAAGAATAATAATAAAAACGGACTGCTGAATGGCAACGCCAATAAGGATGAACAGAAGACAGTGGAGGATAACAATGCGCAAGAAAAGGAGGTTGTCGAGCCTAAGGAAAAAGGGACTCAACCCAAGCTCAACGGTAACATAGCAAAAAGTCCAACTGTTAAAAATGTTGAAAAGCAAGAGGAGATCGCTCAGATTGGCTCAGAGCCACCACTGCCCAAGCGACCGAAGCTGGAGAAGCCAGTCGATGTGGTCATTAAGCCCAAGGCCAATGGTCAGGTAGTGGAGCTGCCCCAGGAAGCCAGCGCCGAGGAGCAGAAGTTACATCCCAAGGAGGATCTCTCCGATGAGGCGTTCGTCTTGCGACATCAGCGCGCTCTGCTCGAGGAGCGACGCCGATTTGAGACCTTCCTCAAGTTTCCCTGGAGCACACGATCCCGTGCAAATCGACGGATCGACAGTCGTGCAGAATCGAGTGGCGCCAACACGCCAGATCCCGCCTCGCCAGCTCCGCACCTCGGTGGTGCTGGGCACGACAACGAAAGCATTCCCTCGCCGCTGGCACATCCACTGGACGGGTTCAATGACAGTGGCGAGATGCTGCCGGGCGGACAGCGCCAAGCCCGACGCCGCACCACGTCCAGCAAGCTCAAGGATCAGGTGGAGCGGCGCAGCACCACGCCCGATTCGCGAGAGGTGAGTCAAAATTAATAGTTCAAATCAACATCCTAAAGATTAAAATACCAGACTAGAAAATTCCTTTAAACCAGTAATATTTTAAACCAGGTGTATTGGTTTTTGAAATTTTAAAGGTGCCCCAAGATATATTAATAATATAACAATAACTTAAAAACCAACACCACCTAATATAAGCTTTTCTCTCCTTTGAACAGCCCTATGCGCTCCTGCCTCCGCCATTCGAGCCCCTAAACTTTCCACTCTCCGATGAGGTCTACCAGCGAATGCTGGCAGAGACTTATGCGCCGCCCAGGTCGATGTCTGCCTCCAAGCGGGCAAAAAGCAAGTCGATATCCTCCAACTGCGACGGGAGCAGTTCGACGGGGGGTGGGAGCAGTAGTCGGCGGAGCAGCAAGTCCAAGATTAAGCTAAATGGCCAGCTAAATGGTCACCCTGCGACAGCGAAGATAAACGGCGCGGGTGGGGGAAAGGAAGGTGGAGTTTCCGAGCCTGAGGAGGAGGATATGCTGCTGGAGGAGGAGGACGACGACTATCCCAAGCATCATCTGGCGCCGCTGGACGATGAGGAGCAGTCGACTCCGGATGCCGAGCAGGATCAGTACGATGCGGCGATCGATGCCTATCTGGGCGATCCGGAGGCGCTTGAGGAGGACATGGCCGATGATCCATTCGAGGACGACGACCCAAACGATCCGGAGTGGAAGACCCGGACCGATGGTGTTCGCAGCAGACGCATCTAGACCAAAACCCAAAGCAAATAACTCTCGTTTTCGTGATTTAAGTCTTTTAAACGATTTGTCAATTTTTTAAGTCCCTCACACTACACACACACACACACAACACAAATCAGCCGGCGCAGAGCAACAATTTTAAACTGTTTTAAACGGATTGGTTTGGACTCACAACAGCATTGCGTACTCTAAGCAATCGTCTAAGTTATTTAGTTCTACGAAACCACACAAAACGCAGATAAGCAAAACACAACAATATACACAACAAACGAAGAAGAAGAAGAAAGCGAAACTCTTGAAATAATCGATGTAAATAAATGCTAAACATATAGAGCTAAGCAGTTACTGATAAATGTAAACTAATCGGTGGTCGTTAGGAGATCATCGAACTCACCCACCAAGTCGTTAGTGCGTGGTGGGTGCGTTCGGTTGGAATGGTGGTCAGCGGTTAAGCAGAAACAACAAACCCACTTGGGCTTCAAGCCAAAGTGCGCTAAGGATAAAGAATTAAGTTAATCTAAATATATATATTTACGAAAAACACATTTAAATATACTATATGCATACATAAACATGTAAATGCCAAGAGAGCAGTTAGCAGAAGATTTGAAATGTATTCGCACCTGCACACAAACGATATAACAACTAAACTAAACAAAGCGATTCTGTAAATTGATCAAGCTTACCCGTTAGCCTCTAGCCTAACAATTAATCAACTGGCTCTAGGCCCGTATTTCTTATATTTTAAAAAGTTTAAATGTATAGAGCGGAATTCGAAGGCGAAATGTGAAAAGCGATCGATCGATAAATGTATGTACATGTATTTTAGTTGCTTAGGCGTTTTCATTTCTACCTTAAAAGTTAGTGGCTAATTGTAGCGATTAAAACTTAAACAAAAAAAAAAAAACAACCATAAGCAAAACTAGTGCGGCTATGACCGCGTAAATGTTTATTCTAATTTCGTTTTTTACTATATACTGCGCATGTTTCACCGCAAAGCTAGAAACCCGATTCATTCGTTAAAACTTGAAAAGAAATACAACAGAAATGTGAAGATAAACTAAGGATGGCAGAAATACAGAATTATATATTCGTAAAAATGACACAGTGCCGTGGAGCACCAGAAGTGATCTATTGGGATTGTAATAGCAGATGGCGATCTTTGGGCAACATGTGTTCGAATTAGTATTTTGGGATGACTTCATTAGTTTGTGTTTGAATTTGGAATTGGAATGATGGTAAGTGCGGACAGCAGAACTGTTTTTCTAGTTTACAGTGCTTTCTTGTTCTATTTTGAAGAAGTTTTCCTTGATTTTCCTGCTGGCCTGGGGCTCTGTTTTTCTGGGCAGCACCCACACTTTGGTTCGAATAAAGAAGTCAGAGATTGGCTTAAAATCACTGGAGGAGCTACTGGTAATCAGAAAGGCTTTGGATCACCAGGCGCTTAGGCTGAGGGGATTGGAAATTAATCTTCATCATGTGTTGAGCAAGGTGGTCTTTCTTTCCGATGCGGATGTGCATGCACCCCGGAGATTCTCTGCTAGGGCAGATCCATTATTCGACCTATCGCAGCGTCTATATAAATTGCTTGAGCGACTCGACTATTTGGAAAGCACCCAAGTTCTTGAAAATATCGCTAAGAAATTGGAGAACTTAGGACAGCAATGTCTGAGAAATACCTCCAATACCCCGGAAAGTTCTTTAAATGAGACCTCAGAAACCAGAAATGTGCCCAAAGTTGGTAAGCTACTTAATAATAGAAACAATATTTAATAGTTATATACGCACCTGATAATTCCGATCAGACTTTGACCAGCCCGACAAATCGGATTGTTTTGAGCTGGATGAAGATGTTCGGGTGGATGGCGTCTATAGGTTTCTAGTTCCCGAACGAAATGAACTGCACCGAGATTTGCACGAGCGGTATTGCGCTTTTGCCACAGATGGTCCCGCTTGGACTGTGATTCAGAACAGGAACGTCTCCTTCAATCCTCCCGAGAACTTCAACCGCAGCTGGGATGAGTATCGCGCTGGATTTGGCAACCTATCGCGGGATTTCTGGTTTGGCAACGAATTCACGCACAAGATTCTTTATCGCGATGATCACGAACTGCGGGTGGAGTTGCAGGAGGATCAGGAGCCAGTGGAGTGGGCGGAGTATCCACTTTTCCGGCTGGACAGCGAGGCGTACAACTATCAGCTTTCGGTTGAAGGTGGATTCCGGGGTTCGCTGCCAGATGCTCTGGGGAAGCACAATCTGATGGATTTCACTACGTACGATCAAAGAACGAATCTCGGGACGTCCGGAGATACCAAATGTGCGGAAAACTACGGCGGAGGTTGGTGGCTCGATCACTGTTCACAATCGAATCTGAACGGAGAACATGGTGTCCACCAGAGACTAGTTCCAGCTATCATCTGGTCGACTTGGCGAATCGGCACCGACAAGCCCAAATCATCGCGGATGATGATACGACCCGTAAATCCTATCCCAGGTGGAAACTTTTACGAGGATTAAACGGCGGCGAAATGGGAAATTTAAATGCCACTCAACAAATGTTGCTCGTATTTCTGGAAACAAACGTTACCGATAGGTATCGAATCCACTTGCACTTTTATTTTTGGCCAACTCTTAATTTGTTTTTGTTTAATTACGTTCCAAAAAGTTATGAATTAAAATAACTTTAAATTTGACTATTTAATAAAACATCTCTGTCCTTAAGCAATATATCGAGTGTTTATCGAATTGAAATGTGTGAATGAGCCAGTAAAAGATTGTTGGAAGCCCTTGCTCTGCATTAGAGCCAATAAATATAAAAAAGGTCGAGGCCTACTCCTAAAAAACACCGATTTACGTTGCAATCAGAAATATAAATAAATGAAAAGTGTACGAATAATTTTTTTACCGCATTTAGGGCAGTTTTTTTTTCATTCATTTTCATTCACTAGATGTAGGGGCATTATACAAGAATAATATTTTTTTATTCAAATGGCTTCAGAAAATCTCTGTTTTCATAATACGTGAAAATAGTTTTTAAAATTAGGAAGGATGCAGTTAGACTTTATAATAGCGAGCATCCGAATAAATTCTTTGCTGATTTGTTATCCTGAAGAAGAATATGACATGGGGAGAGATACTTTAAACCAGGTGGGACGCTCAATTTATTTAAGTATGGTCTTTACTAAATTTTGTTGCTTTTTTGACAATAATATTGAAAATATTAATATATTTTTAACAGAAATTAGGGATATTGTTATTTAAAACTTTTTCTCGGTGTAAGATATCGATACCTTCTTAGGATGGGAGGAAACATAAGTCAAAAAATCAAATCAATCATCTTTAATTAAGGTCAGGAGATAGGGCGATTAACTACAAGTGCCCCGGTTATTTTTAATTGGTCTCCAAATATCCTCGAATGACCGTCATAACTAATGTTCTTCATTTTTTTAAAAGTGCTAGAAACTACATTATGATTAATGACCATAAAACCGTTACAAGTTTTTTGGTCCTGTCGAGTAAAGGAATAAATTAAAATAAAAAAAAATTTTAATCTCCGACATTAACGTTGGCTGAAATACTACCTTAACAAGTAAATAAATAACTACTTCGTGACTTATATCCAGATTTCTAAAGAACACACTGGGAACACTTTTTTGTCCTCCGCTTCTGTTAACCAAGATGGAAAAGCGCCTCTAGCGGATGAGTTTGACTAACAACCAAATATAACAACCGATGGTGGGGAGACGACTAAGGCCATTTTATCCCCCATGCACCGCATATGGGTTAAACAACACACTCTATTCCTGTTTCTTTCGCACTTACGAAAAATCACCCTTTCACTCGCACTCATTGTAGTGCGTAATGGACTGACGGTTCCAACACCGACAGTTTTTTCCAAACAACGTTTCCAAACGGACGCCCCAACGCAATATACTGCAGCAGCGAGAGTCCTCGAGCTAATTCAAATAAAGTGTTAGTTAAACATTGAGCCATACAAATTTTGTATCATATTTTTAAATGTAAATTTACTTGCTGCTCTTCATTAATTTGCGCGGGTGTAATTACACGTTTGTGTAAGTGTGTGTGTGTCAAGGATTACGGAAAAATTGTAACTGTTTTGTGGGAGCATGTGTGTGCGCTTTGTGGAGAACCCCAAAGGTTATTAACAAATTCGGACCCCAACAAAAGGTGAGAAATCAAAAGATGCGATTTGCAGGACCTGCAGTAATCAATAAACAGAGAAACCATCCCCCGCAAAGCGTCTGTTTACCCTGTCAAACAGAAAAAACCGGATTCTCTGTCATCTACCAAACAAAGAAAATTGGGTGTTTTTCTCGGTTCCAATTAAATTGCTCGTCTAGACTGATTTCGCACTCGATTCGCAGGGGGATGGCCAAAAATAAAATCCAACATAAGAATCGGAGCAGACAAAGTGTTACAAAATTGCAGCTGAGGGACCCAACAAATTAAGGGGGCCTGTTTAATTTATTCAGCTCATCTTTATATAGCCTTACTTGATTCTTTTATTCACGTCCAATCATTGAGAATCGTTTCATCGTTTTATATACCATACCATAAATATCTTCGAAAGGGGAGCGCTAAACTCGTTTGAGCATCGTTTTGTTTTTATTTTTACTTCTGTGTTGTGCCGTGCAATTCGCTTTTATTTGAGTTGACTGTGCGGCTGGCATTGTATAATTCAATTTAAATTGATTTTTTCATTGTTGTGGTGTCCGTTTCACTTTTTCTCGCGCGAGGGGCGCTTTCTATTCTACTTTTTCTTTCCCCACATCCAAGCCCCCTTTTAATCTAACTATCTGGATTTAGGGTCTGCAGTTGGTTTCGTCTATTGGATTTTCGCACGGCTGTTATTAATATAACGACAACGTGCTAATTAGATGCCATTGGTCTCAGTTTGTTTTTAATTTACAGAGCCTGTTATTTTGAGAACGATGTTTGACAAACTAAAGATAAAGATAATGTTGTGTGAAAATGTTATTTTCATAATACAAAAAAACTTCACCATAAATCTAGAATAAGATTCATTTATTGATTGCAATTTATTTATTTATTTATTTATTGATTGCAATTTATTTCTATTCCCAACTTTAATGGCCTTGTTTAATCGTTATGAAAACACATTACGTAGCATTTTTCGGTCTCAGTTGTTTTAGACAGGTACTAAATCCATTCTAAGTGAGTTTTTTATTTCGTTGCGTGTCGCGTCGAATTTAGTTATTCGCACTATCCGATAAAAATCTCGCTTGGCACGAACATAAACACGGGATTCCAGAACCCTGGTTCTCATGCTGTTGACTCCATTCGACTCTTTTCGGTTTTTGCTAATTTGCAATTTTTAAGCATTAGGTCGTTTGTTAGAAGGAGAATGCCAAACACATTTCCAGAATCGTTCGGCTCATTTGCATTAGCATCCAATTTCGCTGACAGGGAAAAGCTGCAGCTGTCTGAAATTTCGCTATAATCATAACAATCGATCGATCATCAAATGTAATGGCCTAAAATTTGTACACCGCCCTCGTCGTCGGTGGTCAAGTGGACAGGCGGCCAACGGAGCTGAAAATTTTTATTGTCGGCTGGTTGCTCTGCATTTTAGAGACCTGGCAGGTTCATTGACTTTTCAAGGGTGCCAGACGTCCGGGGATGATGACGTTGACGGAACCGCAACAGTTACAGCACCAACAGAAGTTGAAAAGGCCCGGCAAAACACCAATACCACCAACAAAGCCAGTGCCACTTGCAGTCAACAGCTGGCAAAAAAAATCAAATGTCAGCCACAAAAAACTAAACCAACAAAAAGTCGGCAAGGAAGGCCAAGTTCTTTGATTTTAAATTTTGGAATACTCTTTCAAGGCATTCAATATATTTAAATATGAGGCAAGTTATAAGGTCCCGAAAATGTTTTAAGTCTAAAAAAGAGTATTAGTTTAAAGGTTTAGAGGTGTTTGTTTTGATATTACACGTGCTATCGTTTCTGACTGCAACGAAATCAATAAAAATTGCAATACCTAATTAAAGAATAGTGCAAAGTAAACAAGTTTCACGATCCAAAACTGGTTTTAAAACCTTACAGGCAAACAGCTTGTAAGCACTTACATAATCTTCATTAAAGATTTTTTAGCATACTTTCAAAGTAGGTGAGGAAAATCGTTATACCCGTTCTGGAGAGTATAAACCAAAACAAAACCGTAACTGTGGCTAAACGAAATGAAACGAGATTTCAATGCAGGAATTTCCATTACAAATGTTGCGGTTGTTAATGTTATTGTTGCTGCCAGTGAAGCCTGGTTTGCTGGCTTTTGTCAACTGTCGTTTGGGGCAATTGGGTCTTTGTTGGCAATGGGATGAGGCCGAGATGGCCGAGATGGCGACCAAAAGCGGAGGATTGGGGGTCTAGATGCGGTGGAACACTCGACGGGAACTGGCAATTTGACAAGCACTGCACGCACTTGGCCAGAATTGGTTTTCCACTGGAAGCTAGTTGCACGTTTAGGCCGAGTGCAAAACTCAAATGTCGCTTTGGGTTCGAGTGCTGCCAACAAACTGGGATGCAATTGACCCGAAAACCAAGTGGGCAAGTGGGGGAATCGAACCGCCAGAAGTGCAGGCCGCAGAAACTCGTTCGAGTTGATTTGGCATCTTTGTATTCATCTTGTGGTTCAATGAGTCAGCCAGTCCCGCAGTCCGGTCCGCATTTTCAATGCTTGGCAACGTTCCGCCTTTCACCCGGTCTTTCCCTGCCCTTCCTTTTTTCGACCCTCTTGGTTTCCGAATCTCTGCCCTCAATCGGTTGGCCAACGGATGCCAGTTGGCCATTTGGCAGGCCGTAAATGCGAAAGGGAAGCACCACGAGATGGTTTGTTGGTGATTATTCAAGGGGCTTCCGAGGAGTAAGGATAAGCAGATGTTCTGATCCGTTCAAAATTAAACTTTTATAGGGTGTTTGCAAAAGTTATCAATATACACAGGGAATTAAAACTTTGCAGACATCTGTCTGCCGCTTAATCTGTACGAATAAAAACGATGAAAATATCAACACGAAAGTGATTAAATTTTGTATGTTCGGCTTTTGCTTCTGAATTTAAGCTAGCATGTCTGGTTGTAATTAAAGTGTTCAATTGAGCCAGAAGTATGTAAACATATTTAGATTTATCTCTTACATTCGAGAGGTTTCTAAAATGAATAAATAGATTTAGATAAATTAATATAATAAGGGTAAAACGTAATTGAGTTTTTCCCAAATAAAAAATTTATATTATTTTTTAGCTAAGTAAAATAAAAAACTAATTGAATTATAAAAATACTATCCAATGTTTTTCTTTCATAAGAAAGAACATAAATATTTACAAGGTTTATGCTTCAAACAAGATGTTATTTTTGGATTTATGAATTATTTATAGTATCTAGTAGACTTTGATCTCGTTTTCAGGTTCTGGGCTTCCCTAGATAATTTGTGCCTCCCTGCTAATTCCTTCACTTGCACTTGCTTCGCTCTTGGTGGCCGTCATCATAATTATCATCATCGCTTTTTGTGGCCCGTCTTCGTTGTCGTTTGTCGGTCGTCGTCGTCAAATTTGCGTGGGCTTGACAACAAACAGAAGACGACAACGGAGCCAACAACTTTTTCAAGGGCCTGTGCCAATTCTCGAATGCTCTCTTTCCGTCTCTGTTTTGTTCTCCATTCTGTCTTTTATTGCTGCTTTTACTTGGCAATCGATAAACAACGACCTTCTCCCTCCAGTTCGCCAGCTGAAATGGCTAGAAGTTGCTGGGATTACTTGGAGGAGCGCTCTCCAGTGTTCTTCCTCGGGTTCTTTTGTCTTGTCCCGTTTAGGGGAGCTTATTCGCCACTTGAAGCTGCCAGCCAGTCGGCCACTTGAGATGCACTCTCCGCACTTTCCTCCGCCATCCCCCGCATTTCCCCACATTTCCCACCTGCCCTCCATCAGTCATCAGCCGTCAGGCACCTGCCCTCCAAGCCGTGTCCTCATCCTCCCCAGCCTTCCACTTGTTTCCAGGCATTTTTCAAAGTTAATTGCTCGCCGGCAATCGGTTGAGAGAGTTAGTCCTCTCCAGAGGCAGAATAAAAGCAATACTTCAAGATTTTTAACAGAAACTATTAGTAAGATTTCACGAATTCCTGAAGCGGAAAAATATAAGTTCTCTAAGTACCTTAAAATGCAAGTGAGCTTAAATTCAAAGTGGGGTTATACACGTATACTACTTGTAATTTTTAAGATATTTAAGTGGGAAAATAATAGATTATATTTTGTCGAAAATAAACTAGTCAAGATAAATTTTGAATAAAGTCAAAGCGAATGGTGTGTTCCTTAAATTCCTTGCTATAAACCTGGTAAAGAATTAGGACTCAGAACATGTTCGCAGATTAACACCTAGGTAAAGATTTCCACGTAGTGGCTGTAAAGGAACCAAAGTAGTTCACCAATGGCCAACGACGTTCAAGAACTTTACAACAAATAAAGAAATATGTCATGTGCTTCATGAATGCCATTAAAATGGTGGAGAGGTCTTGGATAAAAATTACTTTGAGGAGTTGTGAAAATTCTTACATAGTGAAAGGAAGAGGTCGTAAAGCGCAGAAAAGTTACTCACATTCTATGAATTTGTATTGAAAATTAAAAAGGAAAATGGGGGATGCTAATATTGTAATAGATGCAAAAAAAAGCGTAGGAAAACCAAAGAAGGAAATCAAACTTATTTGCAATATTTAACTACATAAATTTAACTTTAGTTTACACATGTTGCTGTGGACTTTAATAACAGACTAAACAAGCTATAAAGATTTAAGGATGCAACAAAACCTTTTCTTCGAAAGTAATCACATTTTCATTCGTAAGGAGCAACAGAAATAATTAATAAGTGCAGCTGTCAACACTTGACAAAAAAGCAACAAACTAAAGCAATTTCTTCCCTTGACAAACAAGGAGCCGTCGTGAATCCCAGTTGACGCTTCCCACCTCAACCAGTTGTAAAACAAAAGTAATTCCAGATGCTTCTAGCCAAGATGGCAAAGGGGCGAATTGGCGAACACCTCCGCATTCCAAGGCGTTTAATGCAGAGTGAGGGCGTCGGGGGGATTTGGTTGTTGAGGGGGCGGCGATGACTATAGGGCTCTGATGTTGACGGCGCCGACAAAGCAAATACAAAAG